AGGTTGTTAAAATTCCTAAAATCTTAACCCTAGATTTTTACAAAGAAAACTGGTAAATTATACAATTTATAGAAAAATTCCAAGCCATTATATTTAAAGCAATCTTGAGCTTTTCTTTTTTTTAATTTTAAGCTACTTATTTTCATTTTATTTGAACTGCAACTAAGTACAGCCCAAGTGTTTAGAACTGGTGCGTAGGGCCCATCATGGTAGCCTAGTGGCTAAAGGCCTCCACTTGTAGTCACCAGGATCCCATGTGGGCACCACTAATACCAGCAGCCCCGTTTCCCATCCTGCTCCCTGCTCTTGCCCTGGGAAAGCAGTTGAGGACAGCCCAAAACCTTGGGACCACCTTGCACTTGCATGGGAGTCTTGGAAGAGTCTCCTGGCTCCTGGTTTCGGATAGGCTCAGCACCCGCCATTGTGGCTGGTTAGGGAGTGAATCATTGGACAGAAGATCTTCCTCTCTGTATATCTGACTTCCCAGTAAGAATAAAATAAAACCAATTAAAAAAGAAGGAAAGACGGGCCCAGCGCGGTGGCGCAAGTGGTTAAAGGTCCTCGCCTTGCACGCCCGGGATCCCATATGGGCGCCGGTTCTAATCCCGGCAGCCCCGCTTCCCTTCCAGCTCCCTGCCTGTGGCCTGGGAAAGCAGTCGAGGACGGCCCAACGCTTTGGGACCCTGCACCCGTGTGGGAGACCCGGAAGAGGCTCCTGGCTTCGGATCGGCATAGTATCGGCCCGTTGCGCTCACTTGGGGAGTGAATCATCGGACGGAAGATCTTCCTCTCTGTCTCTCCTCTCTGTATATCCGCCTTTCCAATGAAAAAAAAAAAAAAAGAAGGAAAGAATTGGTGCCCATATGGGCTCCCAGTACATGCAAGGCAAGGACTTTAACTGCTAGTCTACCATGCCGGACCTGGTCTTGAAAAACTTTTTATAAATAGCCTGTGTTTACTTTTATCAACTAGATCTGTTTTTATTTATTTATTTGAAAAGCAGAGTTAGAGAGAAGGAGAAACAGAAGGAGAGTCTACCATCTGCCTTCTTAACTCCCTAAATCGCCACAGGAGCCAGGCTGAAGCCAGGAGCCAGGGCTTTTTGCATGTCTCCCACTTGGCTGCAGGATCCCAAGTACTTGGGTCGTCCTCAGCAACTTTTTCAGGCATAAGAGGAGGGAGTTGGATGGTAAATGAAGTAGTTGCTCAACCTCCACAGCCCCAAGCCAGATGCCATGCGCCACAGCTCCAGACCTGTAAGTTAGCTAGCTCTTACCAATGGGCACTTGTTATGGGGTGTGTTTCATTCTGTTCACTAGTAGACCATAGGATTGCTGTAGTTTGTTGACTGCCTTCCTGAAATGTAGCTAACAGACTCTGTAAATGCCCTGTTGGGCATGTGCGCAGTGTAGGCAGGATGAATCATATAATTCAGTAAATTCCTAACTGGTATGCCTGCATGCATATTATTCGTCTCCCCTTGGTCAACACTGGCCAGATATCTGTGGCCCCCTCTATGTAACGGCTTCATTAGGCTCTTGAGGGAATGAGATAGAAAGTACAGTTTTCTAATTTGTAGGTGTTTCAAAGCTGTGTGGAATTAGTACAGAACTGGATAAAATAATTATGCTGGAACTGCACAGTTAAGATCCAGCTCTGTCAATCTGAGATCATAGATTAGAACCCACGAAATGAGAATGTACTTCTGTTTGTACTGGATCAAATCAAGTGTTTATTCCTGAAGCAGCTGTGCTGAGATATCGTGCCACTTGAAACAGATCATTGGTAAGAGAAGATTAAAATTAATGATCATTAGGACTCCTAAACGGTTTAGGACACATGACTCAACTATCTAATCCTCTACCTGCAAGCACCGTCGTCCCGTATGGGCACTGGATCACGTCCTAGCTGCTCTGCTTCTAATCCCTGTTTATGCCCTGGCAAAGCAGAGAGCATCATGGCCCCAAAGCCTTGAGGCCCTGCTCCTGCTTGGAACACCTGGAGGACTTCTGTCTTTGTATGGGCTCAGCTCTGGCTGTTGAAGCCATTTGGGGACTAAATCAGTAGATGGAATATCGTTCTCTGTCTCTCCTTTTCTCTGTACATCTGCCTTTCCAATAAAAATAAATCTTTTTTTTTTAAATCCTTGTACATAGCTTTTGTTGCATAGCTGTAAAAAAAATTCTTAAATATACCCCTTAGAATGGGTCACCTAATATATATTGCCTGGGACATTTTTATCTCTTGAACAACTTCCTGTTTATTCAGGTTTCGGTATAAAGGGCACTCCCTGCGCTTAGCCTAACCACAGTCTTCCTCCAACAAGCATTTTAAATTAGTTCCTCACTTTACAGATCATTGGAATTCTAACATTGTACTTTACTATAATTTATTCTTTTGCATTTGTGTGGTTATATAAGGCTTATCTTTCTTATCTGACTCCCTAGAAGATGCTTGAGAATTGACTTTTGATTCCTAGAATCTTGCAGGGATTCTATTACATGGTATACAGCAGTAAATGCTTGTTGTGTGAAAGGATGAAAGTTATTTTTTTCTCAGTTGTCACCCAGATTGAATGTGTAGCTTATGTGAGTTTAGACAGTTTGAGACCTTTCATCCACAATCCTAATCATGCAAGGAGATACTTACCTTCCAGAATCTTCTTTCTGCATTGTTTCTTGGAACTAAGCCTTGCTGTCAGGTTGCTGTATGATTTTGGATATATCGCCTGCCTAGCATCTGGCCGTATTCTACTGAGAACGAGAAGCTGCCCTGAACAGTCTTTGTAGTCATCTTCCCTGGAAGTTCCCTGGTTCATACCGAAGTGCTTTCTGCATGCAAATAAGCTGGGCACAAGCTGCCCTGCATGCAACCACAGGCAAATTGTGATTCTAGAAAATGTGTTGTGATATGCAGCGTTCTCATGTTTTTACTGACTTAGCTGGAGAGGGGCCATCGGATCCTGACCTGGAAGTTTTGAGCTCCAGCAGGATGTTGTGTTGGATAGTAGGACGTTTGCCGAATCACTGTATTTATAACTCTTCCGAAGTAGAGAAATCTGCCTTTAAATTTAATCCTTTCATACCTTTTAAGTTTGATGTGTCTTTTAAATTGTGTTCTAATTTTGACAGTAGATTAATTTTACTTCTTTCTTGCTTAGCAAGGCAGAAATAAGCACGGGCAAGGACCAGCACTGTGACATGGTAGGCTAAACTCCCATCCACAGTTTTGGCACCCCATGTGGGCAATGGTTGGGGCTGAATTCCCGGCTGCTCCACTTCCAGTGCAGATGCCTGCTAGTGGCCTGGGAAAGCAGCAGAAGATCCCTCAAGTCCTTGGGCCTCTGCACCCATGTAAGAGACTTGGAGGAGCCCTGTGGCTCCTGGCTTTGGATCAGCACAGCTCCAGCCGTTGTGACCATTTGGGGAGTGAGTCAGTGGATGGAAGGTCTTTCTCTCCCTGTCTTATCTCCTCTCTGTAACTCTGCCTTTCCAGATTTCAGGTTTCAAATATATTATATTTGATAAATCTCTTTGATGCCCAAATCATGAAAAAAAAATTTTTTTCTCTGCAGTTACATCTTGTTTAGCATTAACAGTCATAAATTGATAAAGTTTTTTGGGGGGAAGAAAATTAAGCCAAATTTTAAACTTTGTAGTATATAGTGATTATGCATTGTTTTACAGACCTTTGCATCTTAACAATTGAAGAATAGAAAAGTTTTAAGCAGGTGAGCAGGGAAATCCCCAACAACCCAGTGAGTGAGGAAGAGTTTAACTGTACACCCTACCTAGTAAAGTCCAGGAGAAGCAAATAGGGAGCCTGACCAGTAAGTAGAGGCTGAGTGATTATAGGCTAGTAGGCCTTTTCCCTGACTGTTCCAGACTTTCTATATCTGTATCTATGTCTCTCTATCTGAAAAGCCAAATGGGAAGCCTGATCAGTAAGGTACAAGCTGTGTGATTATCAACTGGGTGACCTTTATTAGTCTCTGACTATATGAACTAATTTTGGGGCTCACAAGCAACCCTGATGGTTGGTGTAAGAGATGCCTGGAAACCAAGGCTGGAACTAGATAAGGACCAGAGAAAGTTCCTGTCCTGACTCCAGAAGGAAATTTACCATCCTTTTATCTCTGAGTGCCACCTGGGGCTCCTGGTGAAACCATGTTTTAAAAGTTGTATGCTTCAGTTTTCATCTGAATTGTCCTGGTCTGATCTCAATACCTCATTGCTTGCCTTAAATCTTAATCTGCGAAGGAAGAGTACGATACAGCAATACTTAATAATCCCAGTCATGGGATTGGCCTACTATGAGAATAAGCCTCTTCAAAAAAGAAGTCAGTGTTATAGAGAACAAGTGATAAAATTATTTTATACTCTCAGTGTATTCTAAAGTTTATGAGTAGACTGGCTCTACAGCTTCTGTTTTTTTTTCCCCCCCTTCCTGTAGTTTAAGAAAAGTTTTAAGTAGGGCTTGCCTTTGGCCATTAACTTGTTCAGGTCAAAGACTGAAAAACATGTACAGAGCTAACATATCAGTGAGTCAAGTTATCTGAACTAATTTGCAGGATATTACCCCTACATGGTTTTATGTAACTTAAAATTTTGTTAGCTTCTTTGATGAGTGAAGCACACTCAATATTCTCCACTGTTTTCAGACAGTTTCCACAGAATGTGGTATTAAAAAAGTTATTTAGGGGAAAGGTAAGGAAAACATTTACAACATAATACAACAATATTTACCTTTTCTTCGGCCTCCATTCTGGAATTGCCAAATCTCTCCTATTTTGTTATATATTTCTCACTTGGTGAATGTTTGACAGGCACGGGTAGAGTGGCTTGTTTGACCTTTCTTCATTTGAAAGACAGAGAGAGGTCTTTCATGTATTGATTAACTCCCTCAAATGATCACAATGGCTGCAACTGAGCCAGCTAGAGGCTAAGAGCCAGGAGTTTCTACTGGGTCTCCTACACGGGTGGCAGGGGCCCAATACTTCATCGTCTTCTGCTTTCCTATGCACATTAGGTGGGAGCTGAATTGGAAGTGGAACAGCCAGGACATAAACTGGACTGTTACATCACAGGCAGTGAATGGCTTAATCTGCTGTATACCATGAAATCAGTCCCTCCCAGAGATACTCTATTAAGTTGTGGGATTTACTCTTGTCTTTGGAGTTTTTAAATTCAAACACCAGATGAATATTTTGGCTGATACCCTAGTCTAGGGTAACTGAGGACTGTACCTGTCTAATCTGTTAGAATTCTAGTAGCTTCTGACCGCCTCTGTTGACTATTCAGGGTTACCTTTTCTCACTCCTGGATGTATCCAGTACACCAAAGAATGTGGTTACACTCTTTTTTTTTTTTTGGACTTTTGTTTTAGGCGGTATTAAACATGCATCCAAGTGCCAGGTACCTGTCACGCAGCCTCAGTTATCAGCTCCTGGGCATTTTTGTTTATGACATCACTAGCTGCCATCTCTCTGTCCACATTTAAATTGTAATAAATCTCAGGTATCATAAATATTTCAGCATGTATTTCTAAAAGACAAGGACCCCATTTTCTTTAAAATACATTCATCGTGATCACATCTGAAAAAAGTTTTCAAGTATCAAATATCTAGTCACTGTTCAAATTTCCTTAATGTCCCAAAAATGTTTTTTATGAGAATCAGTGTCTCTTTGTTGACACATTTTATTTTTATTTAAATTTATTTTATGGCCTTTCTCCTGTTTCAGATTTTTTATTTATTTGAGAGAGAGGGCTCCCACCCTGCTGTTTCACCATTCCAGTACTCAGGAATCTGGGCCAGTTCAGATATCTGCCGTGGATGACAGGAGCCCGGTCGCGAGAGCAGCCACTGCTGACTCAGGTGGTCTGCAGAGGAGCTGGGAGCAGGAGCTGGCATGGGGCATCATGGGCCTGAGGCTTGTGATGCAGTGACTTCAGTACTACACTCCATACCCGTTCTCATATTCCACATGAGTAGTGCTAAAGGACCTCTGTTGATCAGTCCTAGTAAGTGTGAGAATGTCTTTAAAATGTGAACATAGATTTACAGTTAAACTAGCTCAAATGTGACCTGGGAAGGGGAATTTTTCCCTTTTAAAGTCAGCTCTTGAGGTAATGAGGTGCTGTTTATCCTCAAGGTGTTAGAGCAGTAACTCCAGAGGCTGGAATTGGCTGCAGCTTGCGTGTTTGAACACGTGAATTAAAGCAGTGCAGGTCTCTTTACCTTAGCTGAACCGCTGAAGAGCGTGGTTGGTTCTCAGTTACTCCCCAAACAATAGGCTTACTGGGCGATCATATCTACATACAGCTAGAAATCAGAAGCCTGTAAAAAAGAAAGGTTTGCTTATTCTAGCCTCTTTGTTTGTTTAAAACTCCCCATGACTGGGAGCAAACATCTACACCAAAGGCAGCTTCTTCCTCTTGGGGAAAGCACAGTGCATACCTTGAAAGGCAGCACTAACAGGAAGTTACCCTGGATCTCTCCAGCTTTCATTTCCACCCATTCTTTCTATGTCCTCTGAACTGTTCACACACCCTGCCGCCTGTTAAACTGCTGGCTTAAACTCTGGCTGGCAATCATTTAACAAGCCTTGCTTCTTCCCAGTCCTATTCACTCCCCACTGCAGAAGTGTACATCTGAAAGCTTGAGACTTTACTGCGAGGAGTGATTAAATGTGAATGTTTGGGGCCAGCACTGTGGTGTAGCAAATTTAGCTTTTGATTGCAGTGCCAGCATCCTATATGGGTGACGGTTCAAGTCCTGGGCTGCTGCACTTCTGATCCAGCTTCCTACTGGGAAAGTAACAGAGGACAGTCCAAAGCCTTGGACCCCTACACCCACATGGGAGACCTGGAGGAAGCTTCTGCCTCCTGGCTCTGGCTTCAAATCAGTTCAGTTGTGACCATTGTGGCCAATTGCAGAGTGAACCAGTGGATGGAAGATCTTTGTCTCCTCCTCTTTGTAGATCTGACTTCAGATTTTAATAGTAGTAAATAAATATATATTTTTAAAATGTGAATGTCAATAGTGAGGGCATTGAAATATGAATATTGGTAAGGAACATGTTAATCTTTATTTATTTGGAAATCAGAATTACAGAGGGAGAAGGAAGGACAGAAATCTTCTCCGTCTACAAATTCATTCCCTAGGTAGCTACATGGCCAGCACTGCACTAGGCTGAAGCTGGAGCCAGGAGTTTCTTCTAGGTGTCCAGTATGGGTACAGTGGCCCAAGTACTTAGACTATCTTCCACTGCCCTCCTAGGCCATCAACAGGGGGCTCGATTGGAAAAGGAGCAGTGGAGGTGTTGCAGGGGGCTGCATCACTTGCTGTGCCACCACAGCAACTGCCAAAGCATTTTTTTGTGTATGTGCCACACCTCTCAGTTTGGTTTAGAGGAATTTTTACTCAACAGCAGCAATGTTGAGTCCAGATTCTGCTAGGTTGCTGACCTATTGAGGTGGAAATAACACCTGATTTCTATTACTGTTAGTATACAGGAGTCTTTAGTTTAAATGAAACAAGAGAATTATTTCCAACTAGAGTGATCAGAGAAAACTTCAGGAAGGATGAGCATTATCTGAAAGCCTAGTTAGAGGTTATTCCAGCTAGAAACATCACTGAACAGAGGAAAGGCAATGTAGGGTATGTGGAAGGGGCAATAATTAGTCATCTTAGCTGAAGTGTTGGATGCAAGGGGATGACATTAATGGGGAAAGAAATGCATTGAGGTAGCGAGGTAGTTGCAAATGCTGCAGTGTATCTAAAGATTATACACGTTATCCTGGGACCAACATATTGGCTTAACTGGCTAATCCCTGCCTCCATCTGCAGTTTCCCATATGGATGCCAGTATGTGTTCATGGTGCTTCACTCCCCATCCAGTTCCCTGCTGTGGCCTGGGAAAGCAGTGGAGAATGGTCCAAAGCCTTGGGTTGCTCCACCGTGTAGGAGACCCCCAGGAAGCTCCTGGTTCCTGGCTTTAGATATGCTTGGCTCTGGCCATTGCAGCCATTTGGAAAGTGAACCAGCCATGGAAGATTTTTCTTTGTCTCTTCTTCTCTCTGTAAATCTGACTTTCCAATAAAAATACATAAATCTTAAAAAAAAAAAACCCTTAATTTAGAATATGTGCTTATATTTTTATTTTTTATCATTACATTTTGTTTTTAGAATTTTGAAACTTAAAATGTACAACACAGTTGAAGTTCAGTGCAAGAAACTTTTTTTTTTTTTGGAGTTGAGAGTAAGTTGCTAACATGACACCCTGTTATAGATTTGACATGATACTCCATGTGTGTTTTCTACAAAGGCATTTTCCGATGTAACCATGACAAGGCATCATCAGATTTCCGTGGCTGCATTATTGCCATGCAATCCTCGGGCTCGTTTTGAGCTCCAAGTGTTGTTGTAGTAATGTAATAGTAAGAAAGGGTTTGCCCAATGGTTCCTTAGGCTTAGATTTAGGGCAGACATCTTGGACAAGAACATTCTAGAGATGGTGCCACATTCTTTCCATTAAAAGGTAATTTTGACTTGTGTTACTGTTAATGTTCACTTTGATTTAGAGGATACTCTGCAGGCATGTCTAACAGACCTTAAACATGTATTTACTGATTTGTTGAGAGGTAGAGATAGAGAAAAAGAACTAGCTCCCATCTGCTGCTTCACTCTCCAGATGGCTTGGCTGGAATGAGGCTGGGGGTCCGAGTGCACCCCAAGTGTCCCATATGGCTGACACACAGTCACTTGAGCCAGCCGCACTGCCTTCCAGGGTGCATGTTAGCAGGAACTGGAGCCAGGAGCCAGAGTCGGGTATTGTCAAGGTACTCCATAGGGAATGTGCATGTCCTGACTGGCCTTAACTGCTAGTTGAAAGCCTGTCACTGGCCTTCCTCACAAAGTGCCGTGAAGAGAGGTGTATGTATGTATGTATGTATGTATGTATGTATGTATGTATGTATGTGTTTTTGGAAAAGTTACAGAGAGAGAGAATGAACCAGAGAAATCTGTTGTCTGGTTCACTCCCCAGATGGTTACAACAGCCAGGATTGGGGCAGGCCAAGCCAAGAGCTTCTTCCAGGTCTCTCACATAGGTGGCAGAGGCCCAAGCACTGGCTCATCTCCCACTGCTTTTTTCCCAGACCATTAGTAGGGAGCTGGATCAGAAGTGGAGCAGCTGAGACACAAATCAGCATTAACATAGGAAGCTGGCGTTGCACATAGCGGCTTTATGCGCTATGCCACAGTGTCAGCCCAGAAGAGGTACTTAAAAGCTATGTAAGCATCCCATTTGTCATCAGACTTTGAATTTATGGGCTTACTCACTGGGTTTTAATGTATTATTCTTGTTATTTTTTTGTGTGATGCTTTTTTTGTTTAAGATTTATTTATTTTTATTTGGAAGGCAGCTTTACAGAGAGAAACCTTCAGTCCACTGGTTCAGTGAAAGTGGTCACCATAGCTGGAGCTGAGCTGATCTAAAGCAGTGCGCTTCCTTTGGGTTTCTTGAGTGGGTACAGGAGCCCAAGGACCTGCCATCCTCTTCTGCTTTCTCAGTCCAGAAGCAGGCAACTGGATTTGAAATGAAACAGCTTAGATATGAACTGGCCCCTTTTTGTGCTTTTCAGATTGTTTCAGATTTCACAAGTACCAGTCCCCTTGAGCAGAGTTCTTTGTTTTTTTTTTTTTTGTGGGGTTTTTTTTTTTTTTGGTCAATTTATTTAAAAGATGAGGAAATCATTGACATGTGGGCCATATTCAGAGATAGAGTGGGCAGGGAGAGTAAAGATGGGAGAGGGAGGTTTCTGCTTTCTCTTGTTCTTGCAAGAGGAGAGAGAGGACCCTTCCCCAGTGCCTGGCTTCTTATGAGCCTGGAAAGGGGCATGCTGACATGATCCTGTGCCCAGATCTCAGGGGAGGGGGGGAATACATCGTGGGGAAAGGGTGATTGGATTGACAGGAAGGCAGGCAGTGTCACATAGGGTGGGGGTGGTATGGCTTCCAATTCGCGACTCCTGACTCGTGATCTTGAGGGTTGCTGAAGGATGTGGATTCATCTCATCTTCTGTAGCCATTCTGCTGAAAAGTAAAGAGGGCATAGGTTGTGCATGTCCCAGATTTGGGAATCTTTCCATATCTCACCCATTGGGTCCATCTCATCAGCTGGAGCTGTTCTAGTCAGTGCCAACAGCTGTGCCCCCCACATTTTCATTACCACTTTGAGAAGGTGTTGATTTTTTTTAATCTTTTGAAGCAGCATCTTTTGAAGCATCCTTGTCTGATTCACCAGAGCAGGCTGACTCATCTTTCATATGCGCCTGGGTGTGATTCTGTCCCCTGATAACGGTCAGCAGAGGAGTTGGCACAGCATGGCTCTGAGTGTTCTGATGCCAGGATACCTCCCACTCTCCCCTGCACACACACACCAAGGCTCTGGTCTCTTGAGATTAGAGATCCTGTCATGTCTGGGGCCAGCTGGTCATGGATGCCTGGGTTTCTGCCAAAGACCATCAGTGAGGCCCCTCACCCCTAGGACCCCAATCTCAGACCCCTGACCTAGAAGGTACAACTGCCTGGAACTCGTCAGGCTTTTAGCCTACCCTCTTCCTCCCTACGTGCTGCCTGTCTGGGACCTGTGAGCGTTCAGCCTGCCTGTTCCCAGACCTGCCTGGTGGTGCATCTTGGGTATGGGCTGCCTAGGAGCCTGCACCGGGTCCCTGCTACCACTCCTGCCTTGCCTTGGACCCCTCAGGCCCCTGATCTTTTTTTTTTTTTTTAAAGATTTATTTTTATTATTTTTTCATTGGAAAGGCAGATATACAGAGAGGAGAGACAGAGAGGAAGATCTTCCGTCCGATGATTCACTCCCCAAGTGAGCGTAACGGGCCGATACAATGCCGATCCGAAGCCAGGAGCCTCTTCCGGGTCTCCCACAGGGTACAGGTTCCCAAAGCTTTGGGCCGTCCTCGACTGCTTTCCCAGGCCACAGGCAGGGAGCTGGAAGGGAAGCAGGGCTGCTGGGATTAGAACCGGCACCCAGATGGGATCCCGGGCGTGCTAGGCGAGGACCTTTAACCACTTGCGCCACCGCGCCAGGCCCCAGGCCCCTGATCTTAATGCTGTGGCCCTTGGCCTACCTGCTCCTGGCCTGGCACCATGCTGAGACTTTTGTGATATGTCTCCATTATTGTTTGAGCGTGTCCCTTATGGTCCAGGAGTGGTTCAGGCTTGTCCTATCTGTGCTTACCTCACCATCTGCCACTTCTCCAAGGAGTCCTTGCTTCCTTTAATGGGTAATGGTACAAACCAAGATCCAGGTGCCCAGTATGGCCACTGTACTGAGAGTGTTGCTGATCCCAGCCCCTCAGTGGAGAGTAGTAAGGAATATATGTAAATACGCCTAAGTGCTATGTCATATGCACCTGTTTATATGTCTGTGCTCGTAGCTCTATTTAGAAAACTGAGTTCATACTAAGAACTCCAATTTCAAGCAACACAAAGTGCCACCCACCACCTTTTTTTAAAGCCTGACTGAAAGATGATGACCTTAGGAAGATACTGATTAGAGAAGAAGCATTGCTTCTGGTTTTTCTTTTTGTTATTTTGTTTTCAAGGCTTATTTATTTTGTGGGGAAGGCAGTTATAGAGAGAAAGAGAGACAGAGAGAAAGATCTTACATCTGCTGGTTCACTCCCAAGTAGCCACAACAGCCAGAGCTGAGCTGATCTGAAGCCAGGAGCTTCTGCCAGGTCTCCTGTGTGGGTGCAAGGGCTCAAGGGCTTGAGCCATCCTCTGCTGTCTTCCCAGGCCATAAGTAGGGAGCTGGATCACGTTCAGATGTAGAGCAGCCATGACTAGAACCGGTGCCCATATGGCATGGTGGTGCTGCAGGTAGAGGAATCAGCCCACCAAGCCACCCCAGCAGCTCCTAATGGAGTGTTTTTAAGTTAAAGATATCAGACTCAAAAACTTTAGATTGACACTCTCTTTAAAGCTAAGTAGAAACTGATGTATGAGGTCATTTTCATAACCACGATTTTTTTTTCAGCATCTGCAGAAAAAGAGGCCATCAAGGGTACCTACTCGAAAGTACTGGATGCATATGGGCTCTTAGGGGTCTTACGGCTGAATCTGGGTAAGTTCGCTGTTCAGTGTAATTCATCCTTCTAAAGCAATTTCTGCTTTTGTAATATAAAGATTTAAGAGAGATTACCATTGTAGCATTTCAGATTCCATATTTGAGATGAAAGTTTGGTAGCATCTAAACTTTAAGCTTATTTTGTCATGTTTATTGCTTGAAAAGACAAAAAAAACAAATAAGCAAAACAACCAAAAACTTGAGCATATGCAAATTAAACTTCTGTGACTTAAGTTCCAGACGCAGTGTCTTTATTGAACACTGTAATAGCTAGGTATTGATTATCCAACCAGAATCAGGGCATTGTCCTTCTTCTTTGTTTCAGCACATTTAGGAAGAGGTCTTCTTGGGAACCATATTGATTTCCCTCATTTGTAGTAGAAAAGACATATTTTGGATCGAGAAGGGCCCAGTAATAGCCTGTCTTTTAATTTTTATAAATACTAGTGTGTGTGTGTAATGGTGCGATTCCACATGTGGCCCAAAGACTGGTGATGGTGCATGAATTGTTTTGTGTTGGTCCACCATAAGATGAGGAACCTGCACTGTCAGCCATGCATGGTTTCCTCCCTTGAGAAAATCTAACTGGGGAGGGGGAAAAGCCAGTCAGCTCTGCAGAAGGGTGAATTTGGAGGGAGTGACTGATTGCCACCCTGGCCGATTTGCCTTTTCTCGTGGTTCATGGACATACGTACTGGAGATTAAAATGGAGATTTGTTATTTATTATGCATCTCATATGTCAACCCCTATGCACAGTGCTTTATTGCTTATAGTATCTTAAGTGCTCCTTGCAGTCAAGTCTACTGTGGTCCTTGTTCTAGTCTCTCTTCTTATGAGGTGCTGTCTCAGGTTACTAGTGCTGACATATTGAGGTTGGTTTTGCAGTAGGGAAGCCAGGATTCAGGGCCCCTTTTGTCTGTGTCAGAACCCACACTCAGTGTATACTGCTGTTGAATTCCTACCTCATACTGACTTCATTGACTTTTGTCACAGATAAAAAATATTCATGAGACTTTTTCAAATGAAATTGCTTTGTAAGTTATTATTGAGAACTTTCTACCCACTTATCACCAGTTTATATTATATATCATTTTTCAACTTTATTATTTACAAAACATTTTCACATTCATTGTTTTAACTGAGCTTTCTAATAATTGTAAGGGAAGGGGCCCAGCATGGTAGCCTAGTGGCTAAAATCCTTGCCTTGCACGCACCAGGATCACATATGGTACCAGTTCTAATCCCAGCAGCCCCACTTCCCATCCAGCTCCCTGCTTGTGGCCTGGGAAAGCAATCAAGGACGGTCCAAAGCCTTGGGACCCTGCACTTGCGTGGGAGACCTGAAAGAAGCTCGAGCTTCAGATCGGCTCAGTTCCGACCATTGTGGCCACTTGGGGAGTGAATCAGCCGATGGAAGATCTTCCTCTCTGTCTCTTCTCTCTGTATATCTGACTTTCCAATGAAAATAAAAAATAAATCTTAAAAAAAATTGTAAGGGAAAGAAGTGAAGGCTACACACACACACACACACACACACATATACACATGTGCACACACACATATACACATGTGCATACGTATATATTTAAAGGGCGGATCAACACAGAGATTTCCCACCTGCTGATTCACTCCCTAGTACCTGAAGTAGCTACAGCTGGGCCAGACAAAGCCAGGCGCCTGCAACTGCCTCTGAGTCTCACGTGGGTAACAGCATCCCGAAACTTCATCATCTGCTGCTGCATTAGCAGGAGACTGGACCAGAGTGGAGGTGCTGGGATTCAGATTGGCACTCAGTATAGGACTCAGGAGTTGCAAGCGGTGGCTTAACACCTTGTGCCATGATGCCCATCCCAACCCAACATATATTTTTTTGCTTAATAGATTTTTATAGCGTCATATAAGTTTATATAAAATTATCCCATTGATGTCAAAATGCTAACTATAGTAGATGTGGTTTTTTTAAAAGATTCGTTTTATTTTTATCGGAAAGTCAGGTACACAGAGAGGAGGAGAGACAGAGAGGAAGATCTTCTATCTGATGATTCACTCCTCAAGTGGCTGCAACAGCCAGAGCTAGGCCGACCCGAAGCCAGGAGCTTATCCAGGTCTCCCAAGCGGTTGCAGGGTCCCAAGGCTTTGGACCGTCCTCGACTGCTTTCCCAGGCCACAGGCAGGGAGCTGGATGGGAAGTCGGGCAGCCAGGATTAGAACTGGTGTCCATTTGGGATCCTAGTGCATGCAAGGTGAGGACTCCAGCCAAAGGGCTACTGCACCAGGCCCTACTAAATGTTTTTAAATAGGAAACTTTTTTTCCAGCTAAAAAATAGAAGCGTGGATTTAAACATGTTCATGATTGATTTAAAATCATCAGTGTCAGATTTAAAAGATGTAGACAAGAACAGAAAATCAAGGATTTTTTTTTTTATTCATTTTATTGTAAAGGCAGATTTTTACAGAGAGAAGAAAAGACGAGGAGAAAGACTTTGCAACCACTGTTTTGTTTCACAAATAGCTACCATAAGCCAAAGCTGAGCTGATCCAAAGCTAGGAGCCTACATTCTCTTTTGGTTCTCCCATGTGGGTGCAGTGTCCCAAGACTTTGGACATCCTTTGATGCTTTTCCAGACCTTAAATAGGGAGCTGGGTTGGAAATGGAGTCACAGGGACAGGAACTGGTATCCATATAGGATATCAGCACTTGCATGCTGAAGATTAGCCAGTTGAGCCATTGAGCTGGCCCCTGGAAAGATATTTTAAATAACTTAAGGAATACTGAGATTTTTAATACAATAAAATCTTTGGTTTTTGCAGGTGATACTATGTTACATTATCTCGTCCTAGTCACTGGATGTATGTCTGTTGGGAAAATTCAAGAATCTGAAGTTTTCCGAGTTACTTCCACTGAGTTTATATCCCTTCGAGTTGATTCTTCAGATGAGGATCGCATTTCAGAAGTGCGCAAAGTTTTGAATTCAGGAAACTTTTATTTTGCGTGGTCTGCATCTGGAGTCAGTTTAGATTTGAGTCTTAATGCACATCGTAGTGTTCAGGAACACACAACTGATAATAGATTTTTCTGGTGAGTCTTATTTTATCCATTTGTAATCATATGCAATGCAACAGCTTGGTGATCTGGGGATAGTATGTTCAGCAGTTTCTATTTCCAAAGACAGCAAGGGATCATCGTTGCTGCCTGAGCACGTGCCCCCGTGGGGCTGCGGGGTCCCTCGGCAGGGAGCCTGGCAGGCAGCCACTCTCAGTTTGTTCACATCGGCGTGTCACAGGAAACCCTTTGCTGCCCCTCATCTAGACTGGCCTTTGCTATGCATTTAAAATACTTGATCAAATTTTGGTATTAATCTAGTTATAATAACATTGTTTTACTTGTAGTTATTAATGTTGAGATCTTTCCTTTGGCACTGTCAGTTTCTGAAGTCATCATTCTTTTTCTTTTTAGTTTTGAGGTTATAAATAAATGCTCTTGATTCAAGAGCACTGGGCTGTGAAGAAAGAGTGTACTGGGACAAAGTCCCAGTGCTATGATATAGTTTATGGTTGTGCATTAATACGCTGTTTCAAGCAGGCATGAATGAAGAGCAGAGCAGACGGGATTGTTATTGCCTTTATGCAGCAGACCAGATTTCTGATACAGTAGTTCTGTTGTCTACAACCAGAATCAGTGTTCTTGTTTTTCCTTAATAGCATGTACAAATTATATTTCATTATTTTGACATACATTGTAAGGCCCAAGTCCTAGAGTCTCTGCTCCTGGCCTCCCATGGTAGTTCCAATTGAAGATGCTCCCTTCTTGACACTCCCATTGCCATGGTCCTTGAATAGTACGTTCAGGTTGGAGCCATTTGTCCTGGCTTTCAGAGGAAACAAAATCAGCAGCGAACTGGGATAGGAAAGTTACTGTAAAACAAGATCTTGATCACTCACATGGAAGTGTATTGGTCACCGGTGGTGTAGGGGAGAAAGGCAGGCAGAGTGAAAAGACCCCAGTTTATCAGAGTTGGGCCTTGGCAAAGGAAGAGACAGTGAGGGCGGACACAGGACAGACAGAGCAGCGATGGTGGAGAGGTTAACAGCACAGATGTGTGGACGTGAAGTCCTTGCTGCTCAAAGAAAGTAGAAAGCTGATGAGGATAGGTTGAACCCCCATCTGATGTTCAGAAATAAGGCTTCTAAGAATTAAGTCCATGTTAACGTTAGCCTTCTGCTGGAAGCCATTGAAACCCTGTGGGAAGGTAAATGTTGCAGCGGTGCCCAGGGCCGCTGTCCTCCCAGTGCTGTTCCTTGCTCATTCCTTCCCACCTCCCGATTCCGAAGGTGGAGAGGCAGGAGCTTTCCTGCCACAGTACAGGTGCAAGCAGGTGCAGACACTTTGCTAAACACAATCAGTAGGCATAATGTATGTGTTTTTTCACTCATTAAGGATAGTAATAAGAATATTTCAAAGCTAAAAAGCCTGGAGGCATTTGTTCAGTAGGTGACAAGGATAGTCAAAATACCAAAGGTGAGTAAGTATTGTGCTTCACTTTGCAAAGAAAAAAAAAACAAACAAATTTTAGAATTCATTATGTATCCCCTTGAAGTTTAGTAGAAATATATTTGTGAGAATACAGTGAGTTTTGTAGTCAAAGTGTGCCATGCCAGATGCCAGTGACATGCCCACGTAGTTTACTATGTTGGAGGCTTAAAAGAGTAGCAGCCACGGCTGCTACCATGCGCGCGTCCGGAGCCAGTATCGGGTCTGCCGGAGCGCCATGGACTACCCAAGGAGCTCTGTGAAGCGGGTCCGACTGCTTCACTGCTTGCCTGCAGGCTTGAACTGGGGGCAGGGCCGGGAAGAGGTGGGGCTTGAACCTAGGGAAGTAGTCTTCCAGCCACAGCATGGTGGCTGGGAGGCCCCGGGATAAGCAGCGTCTCATGCCTGGAGTGCACGCAGCCGCTACCGTGTGCGCGTCCGGAGCTGGTATTGGGTGGCCAGTGCGCCATTTGGTGCTAGGTTCTGCCTGCTGGCCGTCTGGTCAGGGAGCTCTGGGATTTGGTTTCTATGATTGCTGCTTAGAAGGCTCCATGATGAACCCTCAGGGCTTTGGGTGCATGAATCAACCCTAAAGATTCCCAATGAGGGTAAATCTCCCCCGATGAACCTGTAGCTAATATGGTCAACCCATGTGTTTTTAAAATTGTATAACCAAATATATTTTCAAAACCTTTTACCACTCAGAATTTGGGCGAGAGAGCAGAGAAACCTTCCATCCCTTGTGAACGTGTGAGGAAGCCGTAGTGTAACCTCTCAGGCACATAACAGGTAACTTGTAGACAGTAGATTCAAGACAACATTAGACAACAGTAAAACTACAAAGACATACAGGGGGAATCAAGAGCGACCCTGACAACCTATTAACAGGAGGTCATGTGCACAGAGCAGTGGGGGACCACAGAGTGGAGCAGGGAGACAGGAGGAGACTTGTATCCCAAACCTGGAGACTCCCGGATCCCCATCAAGGATTATCAGTAAGGACGCCAAGGACTACATCCCAACTGCCAAAGAGACTACGGGGGACTGGTATGCCTTCGGAGGCCGAGAACTCAGAGGACATCTGCCCCCTCCTTTGGACCTACCACACGGGATAGAAGAAGCTGAATCCTTCATCAGAGGATCCAAGGCCATCGGAACAACAGCCAGGAAACCTGAGCAGTTTTCAGAAACAGAAGAACAGTAAACTCCCTTCAGGACTAGGGAGAGGAGCTATCTCTGGTTCTTACTTAGCTCCAACTTTGGGTCCCCACCCTCTCTGCAATGACCATGAGGGATGCTCCAGAGCACCCCCCCAACACACACACACACAACTCACTCACTCACTCACAAATTGGAATGGATAGACAGAGAACAACAAGGAAGGCTTGGTCAGCATGGACTCACACATACCTTACTAGGTAGGACACGGGGATTAAGTACTCCTCACCAAGGTATGGAAGACTTCTCTGCACACCCCTCCTAAAACTGTTTTGCACCTCAATTGTTGAAATGTCATTGAAGTAGCCACAGGAATTTGTTCAGACCTTGCATCCAATTTTGACATATTGGCTGCTCAATACTTTGCCAGTCTATCCTTTAACGTTATATATTGTTGCTGATGTTATGTTGGGGCTTTTAATTGACCGGGATTTTACTCTGTTGGCTCTGCCTTCGGACCAGGGAGGATCTCCCCAAGAAGCTGCTGAACTTGACTGGACAATGAGATGCTGGACTCTATGCTTGGTGTATGCTTGCACTGGACTCTATGCTTGGTGTATGCTTGCGATGAAGGAACCTCAACTAAACTTGAACTGCGGTCACGCAACAGGGGGGAGGAGCCCACCATGGGGGGAGGGATGAGAGAGGGGTGGGGGGAGTCCCCCAAAAAATAAATAAATAAAAATTTCAAAAAAAAAAAAAAAGAGTAGCAGCACATTGACTTCAGAGAGAAAACTGACCACAGAAGAAGCTGTACAGCACAACATGCGCAGGGCCTGAGGTCCCCCCACGGGGGCGAGGGGGTGTCTGTGCCCTGCCACAGACATCAGCTGTGCTGTTTTGATATGATAGGTCTCAGTGTGAGCTTCATCTCAGTAGGTGCCAGTAAAGAATGGAAGTGGAACTTTCAATATTTTAAAAAGAAGTAACGATTTAATGTTACCTCAGAAGTAATCTCACCACTTAGGATTTAGATTTCCATTTTAAATGAAGCAAGTATTTTAAAACCCAAAATCAAGCTTCAATGCTGTAGAAAATGCAATGTATAATTAATAAGATTTTTGATCAACAGTAAACTTTAGTTAAGTCTGATAGAGGCCTACTTCTCTTCAGCTTTCATCGTGGAAATTTTATTTTTATCTGTTTTGTAATCACTGGGTTTCTCTGTGTTTATTTAAATAAAACTTCGAAAGAGTTATTTATTTTTAGTGGAAAATTAAATTTTTGTGAGACAGAGAGAGATACTTCATCCATTGATTCACTTCCCAGACAGCTGCAAGAGCTGGGACTGACCCCCTAAACAGGAGTCAAGAGCTTCCAGATCTCCCACGCGGGTGCAGAGGTCCAAAGGCTTCGGACCGTCCTCTGTTTCTTTCCAGGGTCATCAGCAGGGAGCTGGATGGGAAGCAGAACAGCCAGGACACAAACTGACACCAGTATGGTTTGCTGGCACTTGCAGTTGGAGGATTAGCTAGAGGAGCCATCACACTGGCCTCTAAATAAAGCTTTTCCTCTGAAAAGTTTGGAAGTGATCTGTTACTTAGAATGGGTAACAAGATCTGGAGTGATGGAAAACCCATCTGTTTATTGTAATAGCCACATAGCATCAAATCAATTAAAAATTGTCTTATAAAAGTCAAGTCTTAAAATCAGAGCTTTAGGGCCCGGCGCGGTGGCGCAGTGGTTAAGGTCCTCGCCTTGCACGCCCGGGATCCCATATGGGCGCCGGTTCTATCCCGGCAGCCTCGCTTCCCATCCAGCTCCCTGCCTGTGGCCTGGGAAAGCAGTCGAGGACGGCCCAAGGCTTTGGGACCCTGCACCCGCGTGGGACACCCGGAAGAGGCTCCTGGCTTCGGATTGGCATAGTATCGGCCGTTGTGCTCACTTGGGGAGTGAATCATCGGATGGAAGATCTTCCTCTCTGTCTCTCCTCTCTGTATATCTGCCTTTCCAATAAAAAAAAATTTAAAAAAAAATCAGAGCTTTGTAAAGTGGGAGTGGGTGTGTGTATTGAGCACTTTTTGAAACAAGCTAGGTTTGATATACTTAAGACAGGACAGAAATGGGACACCAAGGAGCTGGCATTATGGTATTGCAAGTTAAGCTGCCGCCTGCAAGGCTGGCATCCTGTATTGGTTCCTGTTCATGTCCTGCGTGCTCCACTTCCAATCAAGTGCCCTGCTAATGGTCTGGGAACACAGCAGGTGGCCCAAGTGCTTGGGCCCCTGCACCCACATGGAGGATCTTGGAGAAGTCCCAAACTCCTAACTTCGGCAAGACCCAGTCTTAGTCATTGTGGCCATCTGAGGAGTGAACCAGCTGATGCAAGATTCTCTCTCTCTTTCTCTTTCTGTGTCACTCTGCTTTCAAATAAATAAATACATCTTTTTAAAAACAGATGTGGGGCACAGATACTAATGAAGTTTTTGAAAAAATGATTTTTCTCTGTAGACTGTAGATCGCATATCTGAAGGCCTCAGTTCTTTAAAAGGCTGATTTATAAAAGGCTTGCTATACAGACAGATGCTGGAATCTCCCTCCACATGCTTGCAGTGGTTGTGGCTGGGCCAGAAGCCTGCAACACCATCTGGGTCTCCCACATGGGTAGCAGTGGACCAAGTGTTCAGTCCATGTTTTACTGTTTCCCATGGAGCGGTATTCGAGGTGAAGCACCTAGAACTCTTAACCATATGGGATGCTGGTGTGCCAGGCTTGAAGCTTAATTTGCCGTGCCACAGTACTGGTCCCCAAGGATCTCATTTTCTAGCCCTCACTTCTGATATGTGGCATAGAAAATGTAAAAAAATTCATTTCTTCTTGGTGCACTTTAATTTGATAATATATTATTTGGAAAGCACCATCTTATTTATTTATTTAAGATTTATCTTACTTTACTCTGAAGTCAGCGTTACCAAGACAGAGAAATAGAGAATGGGAAAGAGAGGTCTTCCATCAGCTGGTTCAGCTGGTTCAGCTGGTTCACTCCCCAGATGGCCACAAAGGGCCAGTATGAAGCTGGGAGCCAGGTGCTTCTTCTGAGTTTCCCATGTGGGTGAGGGGCCCAAGGCCTCGCTTTATTGCTTTTCCAGGCTATAAGCAGGGGGCTGGATCAGAAGTGGAGCAGCCAGGACTTGAATCAGTGCCCATATGGGATGTCAGCTGTCACAGGTAGAGGATTAATGTGCTGTGCGAATGTGTCAGCCTCAAGAACACCATTTTAAAATTTGTACTTTGTTATTTAGTACCGATTATCCTAATGCAGAACATTGCTTTTCTTTTAGGAATCAGTCTTTGCATTTACATCTCAAGCACTATGGCGTGAATTGTGATGACTGGTTATTGCGCCTCATGTGTGGGGGAGTGGAAATCAGAACAATCTATGCTGCTCACAAACAGGCAAAGGCTTGCCTCATTTCCAGATTAAGCTGTGAACGAGCTGGGACCAGGTTCAATGTCCGAGGAACAAATGATGATGGTCATGTCGCCAATTTTGTAGAAACAGAACAGGTATATAGTGTCTTATATTGCTTAATTTGTGTATTACCAGGCGATGTACAAAAAATACTAGAATAACAGACCTTTATTTTTCAGTTATTGAACTAAACCACTTAAGAAAATTATACATGTGAGGGAGAAATTGAATAAAGTAAACTCAATGGTAGACATGTGTGCTATTTGAAAATTATATTTGTGGCTATAAAGTATATTTATCCTAGGTCCTGAGCCCAACTTAAGTCTTCGTATTTATAAAAATACTTTTAAAACTAAAGATGAAATTAGATATAAAAGTATGTATTTAAATATTGAAATTTAAAATGATCTTTGTTTTTCTAGTACAAAGTAACAAGTTTGTGAATATGTTTACATGTGATTTTTCTTTGCAGGTGGTGTACTTAGATGACTCCGTGTCTTCTTTCCTCCAAATCCGGGGCTCTGTGCCACTGTTCTGGGAGCAACCAGGGCTGCAGGTGTGTGCTGGCTTGCTTTTTTTTTTTTTTTAAAGATTTATTTTTATTATTTTTTTTATTGGAAAGGCGGATATACAGAGAGGAGAGACAGAGAGGAAAATCTTCCGTCCCATGATTCACTCCCCAAGTGAGCACAACGGCCGATGCTATGCCGATCCGAAGCCAGGAGCCTGTTTCAGGTCTCCCGCGCGGGTGCAGGGTCCCAATGCTTTGGGCCGTCCTCGACTGCTTTCCCAGGCCACAAGCAGGGAGCTGGATGGGAAGCGGGGCTGCCAGGATTAGAACTGGTGCCCATATGGGATCCCGGGCGTGCAAGGCAAGGACCTTAACCACTGCGCCACCGCGCCGGGCCCTGGCTTGCTTTTTCTTGTTCTCTAAATTTTCAGAATATTTCCTTAATAATGCAACATAATAACCTTATTCTAGCTCATAGTATTAGTTAGATTTGCTGATGAGGATTGAGTACCATGTTCCTAGAGTTAGCTTTTCCCCCCTTTGAGTGCTCTGTTCAAGTAAGTATCTGTGTAAATCCAGTTCTGTTTAGTTTTTCAGATGTTGGGGTGTGTTCTATCATATTAATTCTTTGGAGTGTTTCTGTATTTATCATATATATACATATACATATATACATATACACATATATACATATATATAAACATACATACATACATAAATATATATATAGTTATATATTGTTTTGTACAATCATTTAGTCTGTTTTGGTGGAAGAATGTAGTCGTTGAAACAAAGCCCCTGGAACTGCACTTCTTGATGGGGGTCCTTACTCTCCCAGCACCAGCTCTGTTGTCTTTCTAACAAGACTTAACTTCTCAGAGCCTCAGTTTCCTTGTATGTAAAAAGGAGATAACACCAATAGTATCTACTTCATTCAATTGTGAGGGTTAGATGAAAAGTAGAATAGCATTTGGTGACCAGTGTCATCTAAGTCTAGCTATTGTTATTGATAGAGTATTTGATACTAACATTTTGCTTTACAGTGTTTGTTGAACTGTCATCTTCAGTATGTTTTCAGATAATCGTTTAGACTCTAAATTGTAAATCATTCACTGTAGGCTTCTGGGTATGTATAGCAAGTTTTATATCTCAGCCTATAGTATGGGGAAAAAAGGCAGAAAATCTTGTTGCCTTTGCAATTTACATTCCAGATTGACTGTTATGGAGAAAATTTATATAACACTGGAAGTTTTTCAGCTGTACAGCTTGCTGAAGACTAGCTAAGAGGGCTGGCTTTGTGACACAGCACATCAAGCTGCTCTCTGCATTCCATATTAGAGTGCTGATTTGAATCCTGGCTGTTCTGCTTCTGGTCCAGCTTCCTGCTAGTGTGCAGGAAGGCAGTAGAAGATGGCCGTGGGGCCCTGCCAACCATGTGGTAGATCCAGACAGAATTCCTTGGCTCCACACTTTGGCTTGGCCTGGTTCTAGCTTTGGAACCTTTTGAGGAATGAATCATTGGCTAGACGATCTCTCTGACTCTCCCCATCCCTCTCTGTTTTTCTGCCTTCCAAATAAACAAATCTCTCACAGTTGTTTTTTGAAGACTGCTAAGTAAGCACTATATAATGAAACTAAATCTAGATTTGAGTTAGGCTGATCAGTTTGTTAAAAGAAAAAAACCAGTGATTATTAGGATAGTCAGGAGATTGACTTAGGACAGCAAGGGTGCATTCTTAATACTATTAGTTCACTTTCAAAATTGGATAAACATGTTGGAGATGTTTTCTAGTTTCGTTTGATGAGCTGTGTAATTGATTTGGTGTTCTTCCTTGCTACTCACAACGCAGGGAGATTGAATTCTGGGCAAATTTGATTCTGGAGTTACAGAAATGTTTAGAAGAGTTCAGAAAAATAATCTGTTCTCATCTTTATTTTTTTTTTCTTGTTATCTGTTAGATCTTTCTCCACTCAGCCTCATCTCTCTGTGTCTGTTCTGTGTGTCATCTCATTTATTTCACTCATATCCAAAATTTCTGCCCCTGCAAAATGTGCTATTACTGTTGTTTTGGCTCTGAGGTTAACTGGGAGACTCTCTTTTTTCCTGGAAGGAATAAGTATCTTATCACTCTTGGCCTTCTGGCTAAGATCAAGTGTAGGAACGAGTATCTTAATTTGCCAGAGCTTAGGTGAGGGAGAGGCGAATATCCAGCATGGCAGAGAAAAAAACCGTGGAGATATGGTGTGGCAGCTTGGTGGAGGAGGGGTTTGTGTCAGGGGACATGAATTTTTATCTGAATAATTCTTGATCTGAGAAAGTATGTCTGTGGTTTCAATGGTTTTTTAAGATTTTCCAAAAGGTGATAGTATCTTAACTTACACAGAGCATGTATTTTGGACTTAAAACTAGATACTATATATATGAAATTGTTCTTTTTGAGTAAAACCCTCTCATGAATGAAAATTTCTGTTGGTATAAAAGTATTTCATAATGGTATACCTGTTAATCTTTTTATAAAAATTTTTTTTAAGAATGAAAGAGAAGGAAGCCCCTAGATATATTATGAATTAAAATCAGTTATTTTATTTGCTGTTGTGTATTCAACAAATTAATTTTATCATACACAGTTGTATTTCTTTTGTCTACATGTTAGTTTTGGTATGATTAAGTCTGTTTTTCTTCTGTAAGGTGGGGTCCCATCGTGTCCGGATGTCGAGGGGATTTGAAGCCAATGCACCTGCTTTTGACAGGTAAGACTGATTCTTTGAAATTGCTGAGCAGTAAGGCTGCTTCTTTGGCACTTAGTAAGGCCCTCTTTTGGTTTACTTGGAAGCCCATGGCCCTACAGTGAGGACTTCCACAGGTGGTCACGCTGAAGTGTGCATTTTGTCTCTTCACCTGGAGACTTCCTGTTCAGGTGCACTGACTGTCCAGACAGTGGCCGCTAGCCAGGTGGGCGCTTGAACATGACTAGTAATGTCAGTGGTGGACTGTCAGTATACCCTGCACACTGGATTTCAGATTGGAAAATAACTCATTAATTTTTGTTTTATATTGAGTGTGTGTTGAAGTCTTATATTGAGCAAAAATATATTGACTTTCATCTGTTTTTTTTTTTTTATTGTTTAAGATGTGACATTTCTAGAATTGTAAATGCCTCATGTTCTGTTCCTTTGTATGATATTGCTCTGTCTGTATAGCCTCTGGAGTGGTTAGGAGTCGGGTGGAAGAGTCATATTTAGGGCTTTTTTTTTTTTTTCAAAAGGCTAGAGTTAGTAAGGAGGTTCCTGCAAATGCTCCTGGGGTGTGTTCCCTCCATCCTGTCTGTTCAGAGCTCATGTGGCATCTTTGTGGCTGCCAGCCTCACGGAATGGGGAGGAGCTAGGTGACCCTATAGTCCACCTTGCATGAGAGTACTGTTGGTGTCCCACAAGTCAGAGGGAGAATCTCATTGGCCGAGTTCTCATAGATTGAGATGGTGTAAAATGAGTTTACTGACCCCTTGTTTCAGAAAAATGTCTTAGGCCATCATCTGACATAAGCTTATTTCCTTCCTTCAACAGGCATTTTAGAACACTTAAGAATTTGTATGGTAAACAAATAATAGTTAATTTGCTTGGATCTAAGGAAGGTGAACATATGCTAAGTAAAGCATTCCAGGTGAGTATATTCATTTCTTCTTTCTGGCTCATGGATGCGTAGAATGATGTTACAAAAATAAAACAATACAATAACCAAATTCTCCCCAGAAGTGAATTAGTGCCTTAGAAGGGTTGGTATTTTCTTTAGAACCTTTAACTTTGTGGGATTACGGGAAACAGTGAAGGTTATGGGAAGGAGGAATTATGGAAAGCTTTCATGGGAAATGACAATGCTTTCTGTTCCTTTTGTGGAGAAGTAGGTAGATAAATAGACAGATAACGACAGTTCTGTCCACAAATGGTCTCCCATTGCAGAGAAATACCTCGCAGCTTGTACCCTCTGCTGGTTGTCCTGCTTGCCTCCCAGAAGCCATTGCCATTGTTTAAATGTGTTTGTGTAGATGTAAGACTAGTTAGTCTTCCTGTCACCATGAGTGACAACTTGAAAATCTTAGTAAAAAAGAACCCAAGAAATCACCTGACCTCTACAGAAGAAACATTTTAGTAAACTTCATTGAATCACAAATGGAGTAGTATGTTATGTTACTTCAGATTTTAAATTTAAAATAGCGTTTTTGTAAAGGTCAGTCTCCTAAGTCCAAAAGTAACTGAATTACATAGCTATTTTTAAACCTGTGAGCAGGTTATATATTAGAGAATGACTCTTTATTGTAAACTTAAAAAGTATTTATTCGTATATATTGAATGAAAGCATAAAAGAGAACCTATCCTTGGGCCTCGCACAGTAGCCTAGTGGCTAAAATCTTCCCCTTACACATACCAAGATTCCATATGGGTGCCAGTTCTAGTCCTGGTGGCCCTGCTTCCCATCCAGCTCCCTGCTTGTGGCCTGGGAAAGCAGTAGAGGACATCCCAAAGCTTTGGGACCCTGCAACCACTTGGGAGACCCCAGGGAAGCTCCAGTCTCCTGGCTTCAGATCAGCTTAGCTGTGGCTGTTACAGCTATTTGAGGACTGAATCAACAGATGGGAAATCTTTCTCTCTGCCTCTCCTCCTCTCTGTATATCTGACTTTCCAATAAAAATAACAATATTAAAAAAAAAAATCTATCCTGACACACTGTCTCAAAAAGCAAGATGCTTTATTATGAGTTCCTATAATAGGTCATTAAATTTCTGTTGTAAAAGTACATGGTCATTATTGGAAGAACTTTTTCAGTGTGACAATAGTGAAGCTCCCTGAAGTCTGTTGTGTCGCCTGATCTCTCGGGTAGTAATGAGATGTCAAGGGGAAGAAGTGTCATTTAGTTTCAGCAGATGATTTCATTTTTACTGCCAGTGTCAGTGAAATCTGGAAAGACGAATGAGATTTCAAGAGGGTATGCTAAGATTGTACCTTGGAGTGTGTGTTTCCATTCATCACTTTGATAAGAACATATTTAATCACTATCTGATTACATGTTTGCCACTTTCCTTTCAGAGTCATTTGAAAGCTTCTGAACATGCTGCTGATATCCAGATGGTGAACTTTGATTACCACCAAATGGTTAAAGGCGGAAAAGTAGAAAAGTTGCATAGTATTCTTAAACCCCAAGTCCAGAAGTTTATAGATTATGGATTTTTTTATTTTGATGGAAATGAAGTTCAAAGGTTTGATTGTTTCTCTGTGCTTTAAATTGGAACTTTGCTTTTAAAATTATCCTTAAGATGAAACATGTTTTAATTCTTAAATTGAAATTTGTAATTAAGTATCTTTTTTATAGTTGATTTTAGGTGTCTTATTTGGTTTTTTGTTTGTTTTTTTTAAGATTTGTGTATCTATTTGAGAGAGTTAGAGATCTGTTATCCACCATTTATTTCTCAGGTGGCTGCAGTTGCCAGGGCTGGGCCAAGCCAAAGCCAGGAGTCTGGAGCTTCATCTGGGTCTTCCACTTGAGTGTCAGGGGCTCAAGGACTTGGGCCACCTTTTGTGTTTCCCTTGCCATTAACAGGGAGCTGGATTGGAAATGGGAGTGCCTGGGACTTGAACTGGCACCTGTATGGGATACTGTTTTTATAGGTGACGGCTTTATCTGCTCTGCCACAACACCAGCCACTGTTTTCTTTCTAGAGAATGCAACAAATCATAATATTAGGTTGCATTATTGAGCATATATTGTAGGATAGTACATTTAGTTTTACGTGTATCAGTAGCAAAAATTGCAGGAGTAGATTCTGTTAGTATGCTGATTTGCATATGAGGAGTTGGGGACCAAGGCTGTCATTTCCCCCATGTCACGTAAATAGGAAGTGTTGGAGCTAAGATTGATCAGGTTTCAGATTGTGCGCAGTCATCCATGAGACTATTCCACTTCTCTTTCAAAAGTGATGTTATGGGGATGATACTGTGGAGCAATGGGTTAGATCATCTACCCCCTTGGCCATAGAGGCACTGGTTCAATTCCCACCTGCTCTACTTTCCATCCAGCTCCCTGCTGGTATACCTCCTGGAGTGCCTGCTCCCTGCTACCCACGTAGGAGATCCAGGTGAGCCTCCTGGCTTCTGGTTTCAGACTGGACTAACTCTGGCCATTGTTTCCAGTTGGGTCATTAACTAGCAAATGAAAGAGCTCTCTCTCTACCTCCCTCCCTCCCTCCCTCCCTCCTTTTTCTCTGTGATTCTGCCTTTCAGATAGAGATAATACAAAAGCAAATGGGCGTGGTGCAGTGGCTCAATGGCTAAATTCTCACCTTGTAAGTGCCAGGATCCCATATAGGTGCTAGTTTGTCTCCTAGCTTCTCCACTTCCCGTCCAGCTTTCAGCTTGTGGCCTACGAATTCATTGGAGGACGGCCCATAGCCTTTGGGCCTGCACTGTGTGTGAGACCTGCAAGAGGCTTCTGGCTCCTTGCTTTGGATCAGCTCAGCTCAGGCTGTTTCAGCCATTTGGGGAGTGATCCAACAGATGGAAGACCCTTCTCTCTGTCTCCTTCTCTCCATAAATCTGATCTGCCTTTCCAGTAAAAATAAATCTTTTATTAAAACTAGTAATTTGTGGACTTCAGTAAAACCAGCAGATGCTAGCAGGAGTCAAAAGCATTGCCTACTGCCTGCTTCAGTATGATTTGAAACTACAGTTTTTTCATATGACATAGAGAAAAGTAAATACTGAAAGATCTAAGTTCAGAATATAGCTTAACATTTAATGAATAAAACTAGAATTTTTATTGTTTCTTTTTTGTGTAATATTTAATTTTGGTGCCTGGTGGTAACACATTATGTTTTAAAAATTAATTCTACAGGTATTTGATTACCTTACATGTAAAGAACCTCTAAAATTATAAATAGTATTATGTAAATGTTTGTTTAGTTCCTAACTGCTAACCTAATTAAAAATACAAATGTGATTGATAAATGATAAGAAATGTTCACAGTGTGGAATCTAGGTGGTTCATGATGTAATTCTGTCATTTTTGTATATTTCGAAATTGCAATATTAAAAAGATGGGCAAGGCAAGTCAGTATTATATTTTTAATCTCTTCAGTTATGCTGTTTGGTTTTGCTTTGTTTTATTCCAAACTAACTGTTTAACCTTACTGGATTTGTTAACAGATGCCAGAGTGGTACAGTTCGAACAAATTGCTTGGATTGTCTTGATAGAACAAATAGTGTACAGGCATTCCTTGGGTTGGAGGTAAAAATAGTTCATATATGTGCCTTGTACTGAATATGTGCGTCTTTGGGTGCTCTCTTAATGCTTGTGCTTCTCATTGACATTTAGGAAGAAGTGAGGTTATGCTCATGACAGGCAGCTTACTTTTCTTCTAGTCTTTTCTCACAAGTGACCCAATCCCTTTAATGAGAAAGGTTTCCATTATCTGCTCTCTTTAGGTAGTTGTCTATTTGCTTCGTTGTGTTGTTCCTTGACACTCTCTTTAAATACTGTTCACATGATTTCAGTACTATTTCCTGCCTTAGTGTGTGCCTCCATATCAGAATGGGGCAGTCTGTATACACATGTACAGTGGCTGTACGTTTCTTTGATGCTTTGTAACGCAGATCAGTTCTGCATTTTAAATCAGTGGCTATGAAAATCAGAATCAGTTATCTTACCAGTTATCCATCAAATTCAGTCTAATAGTTTCAGCTTTTTGAAACATTGTAACAAAACCTGGTCTTTCCTGTTAGGCACCTTAGGATCATAAAGCTGTGGTGAGTCTGTCTTAGGTCTTTTTAACTTTTTAAAGACGTAATTATTTATTTGAAAGTGTATTTACTCAGGATTGAGGGGGTTTCATCTCTGATGGCTGCAATGGCAGTGACTGGGCTGGGCTGAGGCTAAGAGCTTATTCCAGGAACCTGACATGGTTGCAGGGCCCCAAGCCCTCGGGGTATCTTCCACCGCTTACCTAGGCACTGCCTTGGCAGGGAGCTTGATTGCAAGTGGAGCAGCCAGGGCTTGAACTGCTCATGTAGAATGCTGGCATCATATGTGACGGGCTTAACTCACCACACACAACAGTTCTGACCCTAAATCTTTATTTTATTCTGTGGGAACTTAAAGCTGAGTTATCACATGCTATTTTAAACAGCCACAAAAATAGGAATAGGAAGTAACATCTTATTTCCTCTTGTTAATTATCTTAAATTTGGCTAGAATATGATTTGATTAGTTACTCCACAGCTGAGATTTTTTTGTTTTTGTTTAAAAAATGAAAGTAATGTTTAAAACGTTCTTCTACAAAATAAACTTCTCTTATAACTAAATAAATTCTGTTCTGGTTTTTTATGAAATCTCGTATTAAGATTTGTCACTATAGTTTAGAAAATATTACAGAAAAGAGAAGTAGGCGTGGATAGAGTTTATTGTACGGCTTGGGTTGGTTGCTAGTTCTGACTTGTGTGTTAGTATATTACATTGATTCTGAGAATAAGCCTATTGAAATACCGAAATTGTATTAAATGGGAAGTGAGTCATGGCTAGGAGATCTCTGCCTTTTCGAATGTGTTTCTCACTATCTACATTTCACAAAGATTTTCAAAAATAATAGCATGAATGATTTTTTAAAGATCTAATTTATCTAACTCTTCATTGGTGTTGGAAGTTAGATTATGAGAACACTTCGTAGTATAACATTTCCTTGACTGGTTATAACATTTATTGCTAAGACAGGTAAAACCAAACTAAAAAGGTTAGTTTTGCCTAGTTTCTTGAAGAGGGAAAGGTATAAATTATTAAAGAGCTCATGGTAACCTACCTATTGAATTCTACAGGCTAGCAAAGAACAGCTTTGGTACAAGTCTCTTAAGTAATAACATGAACCCAGTTTAGGGTTTTAATGTTTAATATTTCTGTAAGTATTTTGTAACCAGACTTATAAGTAAGGTTAAAGAAAAAAGTATAGATGCAGAAGAGTTCAGTAAAAATACAGCATATAGAATGTGATGGATTCCAAGTAAGAGGAACAAAGGAGATAAAGATTACACATCGTTCTAACTCCGGATTTCTGGGCTAGAGTTTACAGAGCAGTGACTGATTGGAACACTTGTAACGTAGGGTCAAGGAACTGTGTCCCCATAATTCTTAATGCCTGAAAAGCTTTCCTGGCTTTATTTAGAGCTTTAACTTATTTTCTTAATCTTTGTGACATTTTAAAAGCAGCTCTCCTTTTGTCACAGTCTTTTCATTTTAATTATCCATACTTATGAAATGAAATCCAGACATTCAAAAACTTAATTTCTTTTTTAATATGTCTTTATGGTAAGCTTGGAAAGCATTTTTCTGTATTCTAATGCATGTTTTTATTAGCTGAGCAAGGTAAACCAGTCCTGTTTATAATGTTTTATCATTTAATCAGAAGAAAGTTTTCATTGATGTAAAAGATCACTGTTACAGTTTTTAACTCTTCTGACATTTACTTTAAAAATTGAAATGATGAGAAATATCACAGCCTAGTATTTTCAGAATTTAGTCTAACAGTCATGTAGCTAGCTGTTTTTGGTTTGATTCCGTTGGTAGGAGTTGTGTCGTGGGGCAGGTGCTGTGGTGTAGAAGGTAAAGCCACTGCCTGCAGCACTAGCATCCCAAATGCATGCCAGTTTAAGTCTCAGCTGATCCACTTACAATTCAGCTCCCTCACAGTGTGCCTGGGGAAGCAGCAGAGGATGACCCTGTGTGCTTGAGTCCTTGCACCCATGTGGGAGACTCAGAAAAAGCTTCTGAATTTCAACCAGCCCAGCTCTGGCCCTGTGGCCTTTTGGGGAGTGACCCAGTAGATAGAAGATGTCCCTCTGTCTCTGTATCTTTGCTTTCCACAAAAGAAAAGTTGTGTTATAATAATGATTAATAAGTTAATATACTTAACAAAGGCTTCTTGGTTGCTGTTTCAGATGCTTGCTAAGCAGTTGGAAGCTCTGGGTTTAGCTGAAAAGCCTCAGCTGGTGACTCGCTTTCAGGAAGTTTTCCGTTCAATGTGGTCTGTGAATGGTGACTCCATCAGTAAGATCTATGCTGGCACAGGTGCTCTCGAAGGGAAGGCTAAGGTAAATCCAGCTTTGTCACAATCTAATGAAAGTCTCTTTCTTTCCTCTCTATGGAAGTTTTTTAAGTAGTCTTTTTAAACTTAATGGATTTTTAAATGAATAGTATCTGCTTTTGGCTCCCATATAATCATGCTTTGGGGCCCTGGATGCTGTTTTCTGCAGTAGCTACCAGTGGGTAAATGGAGCATAGTTATAGGTCTTCCAAATATTTATGGAAAAGGCATACTTAGATAAAGCTAAATGCAAAAATAAGTTCTGTTTTTCTGTGAGCTTTTTGAAGAGCTTTTATGTTAGTAGTCATTTCGTGAGAATCCAAGACCGCTTGCACTGCTTGTAGCTTTTACCTTGAATATCTGCTGTACTTATTACTTATTTTGATAGTAAGCGTGATTTTGTTTGTTTAATCCTAAGTAGAGGGTCCTTTCTCATTTCGCTTAGTGTCCCTTGCAGTTGATATAATGCCTCTGCTTAGTTTATGTGTGACAAATGTTAGACAAGTTAAAATCAGTCAACAATTTTTGCTTGCAGTGCTTTCTGTAAAACCCAAGTCTTCAGGGCTCAATGGCTCAATGGTGTTTTTATCCCTCTACTTACCTTACTCTGAAAAGGACATTATGAGAAAGTACCCTAAGACATGTAATGTATGAACTTAATCAGAATTTTGTCTCATCCTTGCCTGTTTAATTACTAAAATTTGCCCTTACTAAGAGATTTTGAAACCATGCTTGACATATTTCTCCTTGTTTTACTTGTTATTTAACCTTATGAAGATGCTGGGCTTCCTTAAATTTATTAACATTCTACATCTCTGCTATTCCTCATGTTATTTTGGCAGTAGAAATGAGGATGTGTATCACTCCTATGGTTCTCATGCAGTTTCCTCGTTTTAGCACCTGCAGTTCTTTAAGCCCATTCACTGTCTCCAGGTCTTTCCATTTCCAAATCTCCCTCCTCTCCGTTGTGTCCTGAAACACCGTGCCTCTGCCCAGAGGTATTGACCTTTCCTTGTGAAGTTTACTTTGTTCAACCCGTAGGATAATTGGTGTTGAATTTTACAAATACCTCTGAAATGAGCTCTGGTTTTTGGAAACATGAAGTCATGAAATTTTCATATATTCTTTCATAAAAATAATTCTTGCAATTAAAAACTGGTTCCACTGTAGCTTTTGCTTAAAATGCTCTCTTAGATTCTTCTTTTTATTTATTTCATGACTAAGACAATATATGTACAGAAGTTACATATATTTTCAGTGGTCTTTATATAGCTGTAAAATTTTATATATTACATATACTGCTTTGAAATGAACTAAAGTCTAACATCTAAACTGCTCTTTCTTTTCCTTTTTCTGGATTCCTTTTGATTAATTGCCTGATAATGTGAATGGTGAGTGTCTTTTATAATAATGTCATCTGCATATGTCATCTATGTAAGGAAATAATCCTTTAGTGCAAAATTGAAATAACTGATTATAGTAGCATTCATTTATTGGTATTTAAAATAACTAGCTCTGTATTCTGAAATTAAATCTCTGATTTTGTTTCTTTAAAGGATATTAGCAAACTATTTTCTGCAAAGCAAGATGTGTGGGATCTTTTTTCCTGTTTTCATAGTCTAAGATTAGAATTTTGTTTTTAAGTAGTTATTTATTTGAAAGGCAAAGTTCCAGAGAGAAAGGGAGAAAGGGAAGGAGAGAATAGAAAGAGAATGAAAGAATCAGTCTTCCATCTGCTGATTCACTCTCCAAATGGCCACCAGAATTAGGGCTGTGCCAGGTCAAAGCCAGGAGCTTCATCTGGGTCTCACTTGGGTTGTGGAGCCCAAGCACTCTAGGCCATCTTCTGCTTTGTCATGAACTTTATCAGAGAGTTGGATCTGTGCTAGAGCAGATGCCTGAACCAGTACTCCAGTGGGATGATGGTGTCACTAATGACAGCCTAACATGCTGCACCACATCTGCCAGCCCTAAAATAAGTTTTTTAGAACATTTTTAAAAGATTTATTTATTTTTATTGGAAAGACAGATCAGATTTATAAAGAGACAGAGAAAAGATCTTCCATCTGTTGGTTCACTCCCCAAGTGTCCTCAACTGTCCAAACTCAGCCAATCTGAAGCTAGGAGCCAGGAAATTCTTCCAGGTATACCACATGTGTGTAGGGTCCTAAAGACTTAAGCCATCCTTCACTGCTTTCCCAGGGCAAAAACAGGGAGCTGGGTAGTAAGTGGAGTGGCCGGGACACAAATTGGCATCCGTACGAGATGCCGACACCTGCAAAGTGAGGAGTTAGCCAATGAGCCATTACACCGGGTCCTAGAGCGAATCTTTATTTGTGGCAACTAGCGTATTTCATGGGAAGTTGTAATCATTTCTCTCAGTGACAGAATAAATTTATTATTTTTATGATAAGCAATAAAATGATCTAAAATATACATCATTACTTACATTAGTCTGAGAATTGGTGTGAGTTCTTTGATCATCTATCAGAGCAACCAAGTTGTCCTTGTAGCGAGGTTCATTTTCTTGACCATCTTGCCTTTAGCCACCCATCCCATGCTCTGCTTTAAGAAGTACGATGTAGGAAAGGAGTTGCCCGTCTTAAATGAGTGCCCTTCAGTTTATTCCCTGTTAGTGGACATGTTTTCATGGCTCCTGATCTAGATACTGCAGTTGAATGCTGTGGTACTCAGCTTTTTGTGCAGTGCTGTGACCCAAAAGGAAATGAACAGTGACATCTTTTAAGTATTTTACATACAAGTATGTGTTCAAACACAATGGCTTGGTCCTTTTTTAAATATTAAAATGATATGGTCAGCAGTGTTTAGAATGAAAAATCATACTCCTTTCTCCTCCAACAGGCTGGAAAGCTAAAAGATGGTGCTCGGTCAGTTACCAGAACAATTCAGAATAACTTCTTTGATAGTTCCAAGCAAGAAGCTATTGATGTGTTGCTGTTGGGAAATACACTAAATAGTGATTTAGCTGACAAAGCACGAGCTCTTCTGACTACTGGGAGTTTGCGCGGTATGCACTCTTTGCATTTTATTTGCTTTATGTTTTTTATAGTCCCAAGGTTTTATAAGTCCGGTGTTTAAACTGTAGCTGAGTAAAGTAGTTGTAGAAGGAATATTTGCAAAGATAATTTTTAAAAATTGCATTCTTATAAAATGTTTAGTATATTAGTGGTATTATGCAAACATAAACTGAGCCCCTTTTGTTTTTATGTTTCTATAGATTGTGTTTCAGTGGTAAATAGTTACAATATTGCTAACTAAGTACAAGACAGAATTTTACAGAATTTTTATTTAAGACTTTTAATATTCAGTGATCTAATTATGTAGAGAAATGCTTTACTGAGAAAACCAATTTTTATATTGATTATTCTAATAACTTCTCCAAAATTTTTTAAATTTGGTCTTTTGATTGTTATTGCTTGACTATACATTAAATCATATTAATTTCAAATAGTGCATATGATTAGACACTAACTACTGTTACCAGTTTTAATATTTGACATAAGTATATGACCTTCAAGGTATGTTTTAGCCTTTTGTTGTTTGTCTTTTACTAAAATCAGATGAATTTGAACTTCCTCTGTTAGCGAGCACATAAAAGTCATACTATGTAGAAATGTAACATTTATTGTATAGTTTAATAAAGGGGACTTCCTTTTCCCTTCCAGCTTTATTGAGGAATAACTGACAAAATAAATGAGACATCGCAATTCTCCTCTTTTTTTTTTTTTCAACTTTGGAAGCGCTGAGTATTTTGTTTTACTGTCAGTTTTTAACCAGATCTTAAATCCTAACCCTAACCAGATCTTAATCTTCCAAGTAGGAGAAAATTGTTCCTGCTTCAAGTAATGCACTTTTGGATAAGTACTTGGTTACCTAGATTATTGTGGATTCTTTTGGAATTCCATGTGGTGCAGAATTCTGCAAGACAGTTAATTACAGCCAGTTCCTCAGGGATCTGTAAATAGTAGGCTGGGGGACTGAGACATACCCAGCTCTAAATCTGACATTAGCTACTGCTTTCAACTTCAGGCTTTCTTCCTGGCTTCCAAAAGTAGAGACTTGACTGATGTGTGTTTTGTCACCTCTTTCCACCTGTGCCTACTTTGATGTGGAGGCATTATTAAGCAACAATTGAAAGTAAGTGGTCAAAGGCAAGAAGAAAAGCAAAGGACCTATGTTACTCTTAAGCTCAAACATCAGTTATTTTAGTTTTCTGCACATTTTACTATCCTGTAAAATATGCCTTAAAAAAAAAAAAGTATAGTCAGTTCTACTATAACACTTGTTCTGAGAATGGGAGTTTTTTCCAACATGGTTGATGTATTAGGAAACAATTTGAGCATAATCCTGTTTTGCATGAGCTTGTGCATGACTTTGCTAATAAACAACACTAAGTAAGCAGAAAACAGTACCCCATAGAACTAAGTAGAAGGACACCAAACACATGCACCTGCGTACATGCTTGAAACATCTTCCCTGCCTTACGTGGCCACATGTCTTGTGTGCCTTTCCCCCAGCCGCTGGTGTTTCAGCTTTCCATCTATCTACAGAAAACCCTTCTTCCATCATTCATGCTTATTCACAAGGACACCGCTTCTGAGGCTCACAGCCATAAGTCAGTGTCCTTGTTTTTCAAGATGGTTCTCCTTATGTATTGTATTTATGCATTGTTTAAAATGCATATAACTGAGCTCCTGTTTTTGTGAGGCGCCTATTCTTTTTGATGTGTCACAGTTGGAGTTTTTGTGTGGTGGTGGTGTCCTTAACCTCGTTTTCCCGTAGATCTTGTGGCTATGGGAATGTGCACTATTTTGCATAGTACAGTGATGTTTTCAGAATGCCTGTGTCTTGTTATAGCTGAACTGATGGTACTTATCAATTGGTGAGTCCTGGAAACAATTCTAAAAGTTCAGTGTAGTATTTCTGCTATCTTCAGTGTCCTGCAGTCTCTTAGGTCTTCATATTCATGTGCTCACACACAGGACAGCCAGAGACCACACCTAGGACCTTCTGCTTCTGAAATGGCAACGTCTCCGAGGCACCATAGGATTGTCCTTAGATGGAAAGGGTTTTTAAAAATCAGTTAATGTCATTTATTTATAGTCTCTTGTATACCGTAGCAATCAGAAAAAAATAGTCATGAAATGGGCTCAAAAAGTTAAGCACTCTCAGGATGTTCTGTCATAACCTTCTAAATTTAATGTGTTAACATGTTGTTTTACTAATGACTCTTTGTTTTCTTCTTGATGCATCCATAGTTTCTGAACAGACATTACAGTCAGGTACAGTATAGACAATCAATCTATAAGTAAAAGCAACTTCTTTTTTTTCTAAAGTGGTATTGTATATATACAGACACACAAACAAAATGATATCTTGTTTTAATCTGAACAAAGATTTTTGTTTGATAAGATTAAGTACTTTTAACCAGAATGAAGTATATACTGTTTTTTGTCTTCCTATGTCAAATACTTAATTCCAATTAAGGATATTAAGTTAATTTTAATTTTATTGGAGAACTGTTGTTAGAGTTAGATCTCACCATTAATAGACTAATATAAAATATCAAGATGTGAAATTCTGAATTAATTTTAGAGTACATTAAGACTATTCAGTAGTGTTTCCTGAACATGATGTTTAAGAAGGTGTTGTCTCATTTTCTTCAATTTGGTTGACATTTTCTGTAACTCTTGCCCTGTACTAAAATATGATTGGAAATAATTTTAAAATCACCAAGATTTCTAATGAACTTAGAGATCTGTGCCTCAGGTCTGAAAGTTATTATTTTCCTTGCCTGTGTAGTAATGTGAAGCTCACATGCTCCTCTCACCAGGACTTGGGATGTTTTAAGCATGACTGTCATGGAAGAGACAAATACTTATCAGAAATGCGTTTAAATGATGCCTCTTCTTCCCCATAATTAAGATTTGTTTTTCAGGGTTATTGTTCTGAATGTTTTAAAAAGCCATTGATTATTATTATTTGAGAAGGATAGGGGAAAAGAGTGTTTAGATGTATCTTTGGGTTATGTAATAAAACTTTTCTGTGTGGTATGTAGGGATAGACATCTGTTCTTTGGGCACAGTCTCATTATTTCCTTGAGTACATTATGGTGCCAGCCAGTTATGAACGAACTAGGAATAGTTTTTAACCTTTCTTATTCTGTGTAAAAGCAGACTTCACTTTGTGGCATGACAGCATATTTTTGTTCATACAGCTCATTATCTTCTTGCTGAATATATATACATATATATATATTCAAGATTTATTTAATTATTTGAAAAAATTTATAGAGATAAGAAAGGAATGACAGAGGAATTTTCCATCTGCTGGTTCATTTTCCAAATGGCCACAGCGGCCAGAGCTGGGCCAATCTGAAGCCAGGAGCTTGTCCAGGGCTCCCATGTGGGTGACAGGATCTGTGCCATCTTCTGCTACAATTTCTAGGTTATTTGCAAGAAGATGGACTGAAAATGGTCCAGTCATGGCCTTAACTTGTGCCCTTATGGGATGCCAGCATCCCTGATGGCAGCTTTATTCACTATGCCACAACACTGGCCCCTGAATATTTTCGAAGTATGTTATCATTATAGAGCTTCTGTGTTGATATAAAAGAGATTATAGAAGCTATTTTCATAGTAGTAGTAATCAACTTAGGAGGGTGGGGAGTTTCTGCTGGGAATGATATGGATGCAGTTACCATGTGAAACCAGCAGTTCTTTCAAAGGATCCAGATGTATTCAGAATAATTCTAACGTGTTACTTACCTTGTTTATTCTCATTGCCTCAAGAATTATGATTATGTGGTAAAAGGTGAATGTAGTCTTGATTTATTTTTCTTATTAGTTAAGTGCTAATTAAGGACAAAGTCTGTGTTTTTAAGTTGAGGTCTGGTTAAGAGTCTGTCTAATCCAAGAATTTAACCAAATGGAATGTGGTTTATAACAGGAAAAGATAGAGGGTAGACAAAATATAAAGAGAAAGGAGGAAAGTTTAAAATCTATTGAACATTCATTCTTTTAGCACTTATCAAACATTCATTGGCTATGAGACACTCTTTTCAGTTTTACGGATATTGCCATAAGGTACCAACATTTTGTCCTCAAAGTTTTGATTCTCATGATGGGAGAAGCCAGGTGTAGGTGCGGGCCAAAAGTGTCGCACATTCTGAAGTTACTGAAGTTTGGATTGTTTGTATAGACTTTCCCAGTTGAGAAGCTCTACTCCACAGCATCAAAATCCAGATCACTTCAAAAGCTGAAACCTTTTGGATTTCAGATTTTAGGATTAAAGAAGCTTAATCTGTATACAGCTTTTTTATATGATAAAAGCAAGGAGAAGGTAAGGGTGGAATCCAGGTGTAAGTAAGGTGGTTGGAAGAGGGCTCAGCATGGGTACAGATCTGGAGGAGGTCATGGAGGAGTGGGGCCAGTGCCAGGGCCCTGGGTCGGCAGCAGGCCTGGGGGCTGGGAAGTGCAGGGAGGCCAGAGGTTGTGCTGGGAGCCAGTGGGGGTCACTGGGAACAAAAGGTGAGGACACAAAGACAGGTTGAATTGTCTGGGGCCTCTTAGTGGCTTCTACTCTGAGCAAGGTGAGAAGCCTTTTGCCATGATTTCATTTTCAGACACGTCACTATCTTCCATAATTTGCATTTTTGTCAGGGAGCTGTTAGTCATCAAGCCACCTGTTATCAGTAGAATCTTAAATGTGAATTTTCTCAAATGTTTTTGCTTGGGGGCAAATGGGATTTTTTTTCAACCCCTTAAAATGACTACTCAATGAAAATCAATTGCTATATTCCTAAAAATGATACAGTTCTTAGATTTCATACATTATTTTTAAAAAGTACTAATTATTTGAAATAGGACTGTTTGACCTGCATGTTTTATGATGTTATTTTGATCTCATAATAGGGCTTTTGTTTTGTTTTGTTTTGTTTTACTTTGGCTAATATATCTAAAGCCGTTTCTACTTTGCTATTCAGTGTGTTAGTTAATTGCCTAATGCTGAGCTTTGCATTCAAGGCTGATTTTTCTTTTGTGCCTGTGCATGTATCTTGTATGAACTTGTAATGATAATTGTACTTTCTAGACATCGTATTTTGGTTATGAGAAATCAATTTTTGTAAGTGATTTAATGTACCTGAAATTGTGTTGTACCTTGTTTTTGATTAGCATCTTCTAAAGTACTAAAGAGCATGTGTGAGAATTTCTATAAATATTCAAAACCCAAGAAAATTCGAGTGTGCGTCGGAACTTGGAATGTGAATGGTGGGAAGCAGTTTCGCAGCATAGCCTTTAAGAACCAGACGCTCACTGACTGGCTTCTTGATGCACCCAAATTAGCTGGCATCCAGGAGTTTCAAGGTTGGCTTTTCTGAATAGTTTATCTCTCCACAATTTTGATTCCCCATAGCCTGTGAAAGGAAACTTGTTCCTCTGCTGTTGATGGAACAAACCTTATAAAAATGGATATTTGTGAGATCTAGTGTTGTATTGGGTGGGGTTGCCATTTGACTAAAGCTTATTAAAAGTATTTCTTGGCTCCTTAATTATAGATAAAAGAAGTAAGCCAACTGATATATTTGCAATTGGCTTTGAAGAAATGGTAGAGTTGAATGCTGGAAACATAGTAAATGCAAGGTAAGTCAGCTCAGTAACACATTAGAAAATTTTCTCCTTGGGAAACTTGAAGGACAGTTAATTGTTAATGTGATTGACTGAGATAATATATGAGAAGGTGGCTTTCTAAACGGTGAAAAAGCGGTTTTCCAACTTGAGAGTCCCAGGCGCTCTCTGTACTATTAAAGATACTATGACTCGTGAAGAACTTTGGTTAATGTGGTTGTATCTCTTGATACTTATTGAATGAGAAGTCCAAGTTGCCGGGTCAGGGGTGAGTGCTGTGTTCTTGGTCCTGCTGCAGCAGCTGTGGGCTCTGCCCCAGTCTGAAGGCTGATTCCACTCACCTGCTCACGCAGACCTTAGGAGACAGCAGTGAGGGCTCAGCTGACTGGCTTCCTGTCATCCTGTGGGAGACCTGATTTGAGTTCCTGCCTCCCAGCTTTGGCGCTGACCCAGCCCTGGCTGTTGGGGTCATTTGAGCTTCTCAGAGAGCTCTCTTTATGTCTTTCTGCCTCTCAAATAAGTAAATAAAGCTTGTAAGATCATATTTTAAAATGGCAATAGTAAACCCCTTATATTAACATTTATGTTAATATACAATTTATAAAGCAAGTTTACTAAAAGGGAGACATTTCTTAGTGTTATGGATTTTTTAATGTATGGGCTAAGACAACTGAATTTTGTTTTTAAGTTTGATTTATTTGAGAGAGAGAGAGAGCTTCCATCTGCTGATTCACTTGCCAATGGCTGCAACGGCTGGAATTGGGTCAGGCCAAAGCCAAGAGCCAGGAACTCTGGTTCCTCCACTTGCATGGCAGAGACCCAAACACTTGAGCCACCTCCCTCTGACTTCCCAAGCACATTAACAGGGCGTTGGATCAGAAGTAGAGCAGCCAGGACTTGAACTGGCATTCCAATATGGGATGCTGGCACCCCGAGCAGCAGTTTAATGTAACAGTAAATCCACAGTGCTGGATTCTTGGATGTACTTCTATTGCTTTGCCAGGCACATTAGCAGGGAGCTGAATTGGAAGTGGAGATTTGAACTGGCACCCATGTGAGTGCTGGTTCATGTCCCCACTACTCCACTTGTGATCCAGCTCCTTGCTGATGTACCTGGGAAAGCAGCAGCGGATGGCCAAAGTAGTAGTGCTCCTATTGCTCACGTAGAAGAAAATTGGGGTCATTTGCCTTACCTTGTGAGCAATGATATTCTTTGAAAAGAGCTAATAGATTAGATTTTGAAGTATGGTGTTCTTTTGACCAAATTTTGGGGTTTTGTTTTTAAAGGAAACAAGCAAAAACAGTTTGCATGAAGATTTGAGAGTCTTAAGAAATTTGAATAGATAAAGGTATAGTTGGCATTGTGTTCTTAAAGAAGCTGTTATAGTCTGTTAGAAGTTTCCCCTTTAATATGTTCCTGTAGCACAACGAATCAGAAGCTCTGGGCTGTGGAGCTCCAGAAGACAATCTCCAGAGACAACAAGTACGTGCTGCTGGCGTCAGAGCAGCTGGTGGGCGTGTGTTTGTTCGTTTTCATCAGACCACAGCACGCTCCCTTCATCAGGTCAGTGAGCCCAGCCCTCTCTGAAGGCCACTTCCTACCTAGCTGCTTGTTCATCCAGAGACGTGTGCTCATAGTTCTTGCTTTAAACTGTGTTTGTCAAGAGTCACTACTCTGTTGCTTCATAGACTTGTTCTCAAAATATCCTATGATGGATAGTCATATTATAATATAATGTGCATTGCTAGATGAAGCTGTTGGAATTTCCAGTCTTTGATTTAGAATTCTTTGCTTTGAAGGGATGTTGCTGTTGACACTGTGAAGACGGGGATGGGCGGTGCGACCGGAAACAAGGGAGCAGTTGCTATCCGAATGCTGTTCCACACAACCAGCCTGTGCTTTGTCTGCAGCCATTTTGCTGCAGGGCAGTCACAAGTCAAAGAAAGGAATGAAGATTTTGTAGAAATAGCACGGAAATTGAGTTTTCCAATGGTAGGTTCTAGTTGTCTATTCTTGAAGGTAACTTTCATCTTAACTGTAACTGACCTCAAATTCTAAATGGGGGGTTTTGTCATTTTAAGATAATCCCTTAGAGCAACAATACCCGCCTAAATATTTCATATGTCATTGCTGTTGTATTAAAGGAAGAGGGTACAGAGCCGGGGGACAAGTATATTTGAGGCAAGAAAAAAAAAATAGTTGTAAAACATCAATTGCTTTCACTTTAAAATTCTAAATATTTCCAGGGAAGGATGCTCTTTTCCCATGACTATGTGTTTTGGTGTGGTGATTTCAACTATCGAATTGATCTCCCCAATGAAGAAGTTAAAGAGCTCATAAGACAACAAAATTGGGATTCTCTGATAGCAGGAGATCAACTTATCAATCAGAAAAACGCTGGGCAGGTATGCGCATTCTTGGGGAGATGCTTGGATTAGAAAATAGGCTACTTTTCTTAAGCAAGGTGTTTGTTTTCTTGGAATCTTTTGTATGTAAGTGTGTATCTGAAAGATTAACAGGGAATTACCACTCCTTTAAAAAAAAAAGGACACAGAATAATGAAAGAGATATTTGTGTAAGATTATTCGCTTTCAATTTTTTTTTCTTAGCTAATAGTTCAAACTCAGTCTTGAGGGCTGTTTCCAGGGGTTAAGATCCTATGGCAATTATTTTTTCTTTTGTTTCTCAGATCATCTAACTTACTTCTTAAAACTTAGGACTATGAAATTTTGGAAGCATATATAAAACACAAATTTAGAAGGTATGCCACTTGGTACAATGCCTGGGCATCATACAGCTTTAATTCTAATACTCTCAACATCACTTAACCTCTTTAAGTCTCAGCTCCTAATCAAGAATCAGATGCCAGACGAGAGAATTGCAAAAATTCAAACAGTTGTAAAGGGTTCATGTAGCTCAAAGGTCAGGAAGCATTTCCACATTCATGTTTTTGTGTTTAAAAGTCTGATGATCAAACAAGTGATGTGATAAAGGCTACACTTTGGCTTTTTTTTTAAGCTTTGTTCTATTCAATCAAACATCCATTAGATGCACAGAAATTTCATGTGAGAGTATCTAGCACTTCATTGGTGTTGAATGAATGATTATCTGAATGAAAACAGAACTTTTTTGGATCTGGACATTGTTTGCTTTCTGTATTTATTTTAGATTTTTAGAGGCTTTTTGGAGGGGAAAGTTACCTTTGCTCCAACATACAAATATGATTTGTTTTCCGACGACTATGACACCAGTGAGAAGTGCCGCACCCCGGCTTGGACAGACCGCGTCCTCTGGAGGAGGAGGAAGTGGCCTTTTGACAGATCAGGTCAGGAACTGGACGTCACTATTTAAAAGAACTAATGCAACTTTTAGGATGAAGAAGGGAATAATATAAACATCAGATGAGAGGCCTACTTTTTTTCAGCACAGATTGCCTAGCATAGAACAAAATTTAAAAGTGAACGTTTAAAAAAATGCTTCAATTTTTTTTAGAATAGTTTAATTTTTCCATCAATTTCAGTAACATGATTTCATATAGAGAGACATGGACACATTTTTTTGTTAGGTTTTCATTTGAATGCTGATTCATTTGTAACTAGAAAAACTTGAGTGGCTTGCATATATATTTTGAGTGGCCATAGCCTAAAAAATTATTTATAAGACACTGCGAGGTAAATGCTGTGACACAATTAGGCTGCCTCTTGTGGTGCTGGCATCCCATGTGAGTGCTGGTTCATGTCCCCATTGCTCCGCTTGTGATCCAGCTCCTTGCTGATGTACCTGGGAAAGCAGCAGCAGATGGGCCAAGTACTGGTGCTCCTACCGCCCACTTAGAAGACCTAGATGGAATTCCAGTCTGTTGACTTCAGCCTGGCTAAGCCCATGCCATCAAGGCCATTTGGGGAGTAAACCAGCTAATGAAAGACACCTACTCTTTCTCTCTTCCTCCTTCCCCCTCTTCATCATTCTTTCAGATAAACAAAAATGTCTTTAAAGAAGAAAAAAAAAAAGAGAGACTCACACTATTTAGTCCCAGGCCTTTAAATAATTTCAGCGGTAAAGCCAAGTCTTAGTTTTTCCAAAGTAAATCATAACATAATAAAAGATAATTCTTACCAAAACCCTTTTTATTCTGTTAAGTATTCCTGGTATTTCAGCCTTAGCTAGGAAGATGGTCTTTTCTGCTCTGCTCTCCAGATGTCCACAGTGGCTGGGGCTATATTGGTCCTGAAGCCAGGAACCAGAAATCCTATCCAGAACTCCCATGTAGGTGACCAAAAACAAATTACTTGAGCCATCACTGCTGCCTTCCAGGGTCTGCATTGGCACGAAGTTGAAGCTAAGAACTGGGTCCAGGAATGGAATCCAAGTGCTCCAGTGTGGGGTTACCTGGGAGTATCCATGAGGATGACTGCCAGCCCCAGGAGATAGGTATTGCTGCACATACTCTGTCCAGTTTATATGGCTTTTCTTGTGTTTCTTCTATTCTGACTGCAGCCGAAGATTTAGATCTTCTGAATGCCAGTTTTCAGGATGAAAGCAAAATCCTCTACACGTGGACTCCTGGCACTTTACTGCATTACGGAAGAGCTGAGCTCAAGACTTCTGACCACAGGTTTGAAAAGTCCAGTGTTCACATGGTACTTAAATTCCCAGAAATATGGTCTTTCAAAAACATGGCTAACACCTCTCTCTGCTTTAGGCCCGTGGTTGCTCTCATTGATATAGATATATTTGAAGTTGAAGCAGAGGAAAGACAAAACATTTATAAAGAAGTAATTGCAGTCCAAGGCCCACCAGATGGTACAGTGTTGGTCTCCATCAGAAGTTCTTTACCAGAAAATAATTTTTTTGATGATGCATTGATTGATGAACTTCTGCAGCAGTTTGCAAATTTTGGTGAAGTTATACTCATAAGGTAAGTAAAATATTTATTGTCTAAAAAAGCCATGGTTAATAAAACAGTAAAAATGACTAGAAGTCACCTTATTTAGTGTTTGAATATGATGAGTTTATTTCCAGTTTGAAGAAAAAAAATCATATATTAGATAGTGAAACTTCATGTGAACAATTAAAGACAAATATATGAGAGTTTGGATATGACCTGTCAAGATTCCTGTGCAATGTAGCATGTAACATCTGAGATGGCTGTTTTATTTATTGAAGGAGAGATAGGCATAAAGTGCTCTTTCTGCTGTTGATTTAAGTATCTTTGATTTCCATCCAACAGAAATGTAAGGAATGGACTTACCCATTCCAGCTTTGATTCCCCCATTTCCCAGCTTTGAACCATCTGCCTTTGACAGACCCAGGTGTCTCTTCCCTTATTTTAAAAATGTTCTGTACAATTTGTACAATAATTTTGAAAACTGGAATGATGTGTGTGTTTGAATTTCTTATGGAAAGAGGTGCTATTAAATTCCTTTCTGCCCTGTTCATTCGCTGTTGGGTATCTTTTGTACATATTTGGATAGATCTCTGTGCTGGCAACTGTGGAACAGAGAAGCTGAAGACAGGACTCCTGTGTATTTGTAATTTCTCTGGGCAGATCAGCTTGTTTCTAGCAGCTTCCTGAGCCCTATGCAGCACAGCCAGAGTGAAGGTTGGATGGTTTCTGAAGGGTGACACCACAGTCCCTTGCAGACATGGAGCAAATGGAGAAGTAATTGTTTAGACTTTGCTCATATATATATATATATATATATATATATATATATATATATATTTTACCACATCTATCCCAAAGCTTTAAAATGAAACAGAACAAGACATTTTGAAATCTAAGGCTCTAGAAATACATAAGGAAATTTCCAGGCTTACAGATGGCTGTGAGTTTTGCCAAGTGCTGAAATGCCAAGTTACAGGAAGCACCGAGTGGAGTGTGTGAGTAGGCAGCCAAGCAGCAGATGATTGTTTTCATGAACAGATGTGTAATACAGCACTGAGCTGGGAAGGATTCAGATTGCTGAAGAGATAAAACAGTGATGCAGGAGAGACCCAGTCTCTTAGGAGCTTAGTGTTAAAAAGTAGAGCAAGACACCTTCCCCTAAATTACTAGCAAACGTATCAGTGAAAAAGCAGGACATCACCCTAGAGTCAAGCTGTCAGGGAGCAGGCGTTTGGCTTGGATGCTGAGATGCTAACATCATATTGAGGCACCTAGGTTGCATTCCTGGCTCCAGCCTCCTGCCACCCACATGGGAGAAGTGGTGGCTTTTAGCCCAGTCCCTGCCCCAGCTGTTGTGGACCACTAGGCAGGAACTAATTTTGTCTCTCTCAAGCTTAATTTTTTAGCTTCATAAAAAGTGGAGTTAACAGATAAGTTTATACTTGTGTGTTGTTCTCCATGCCTCATATATTCTCTTATACCCTATGACAACCAAGTTGAAAAAGAAACAGCAGACGAAGTAAACAAGTAGGGGCCAGTTGAGCACTAGGTCAGGTTCCAGTTGCTCTGCTTCCAAATCAGCTTCCTGCTAATACTCCTGAGAAAGCAGTAGAAAATGAGTCATTTAGGCCCACCCACGTGGGATGCTCAGATGGAGTTCCAGCCATGATCTTTACACCATTTGTATGTGAACCTGCAGATGGAAAATCTCTCTCCGAAACGTCGCTTTCTCCCTTCCTTCCCTCTGAGTAGATTGTTATCTTTCAGCCTGGAATAGAGGTGTTAAGATGAGACTGGAGTGAACTCCCCTGTGTTTCTGTTAGAGGAGCCCTGAAAATGTGGATGGGACAAACTTAGATGACTGTAGATGTTTGTACTGAGAAAAGTCCAAAACTCTTTCTCTAGTACATGAAAGTAGGAAGAAAATACTGCTAGAACTTGAAGAATTCCTTCCTAGAATTAGATGTGTGAGGGATACATTGTTAATTGGGATAAATGACTAAAAGAAAGATACCTTTATGATACTTAGATAAGAGTGATCTGGATTTCAAATACACAGCAATAATAGCATTCTGCAGCTTAACAGTCTTATGCCAAAGAAATTGGCATAAGAGTCAGCTCTCGGTCACATTTGAATGCTTGTGGATGTCTGTTCCCAGCCCTTGACTTTTATTTTTGTCCTTTTCCTTTCTTAGTCCATATGAGACAATGAATGTGTTTTCATTTCTCTCATCTTTGAAAATCTGGCAAGGACTAGGTGGTTGTGAATAGTTAGACCACAAAATTGTTTCTGTTAATGAAATATAATATTCTAACCTGGTTTATTCCTTTTTTGAAAAAAATGACAAGCTTATTGTAAGACCATATTCGTCAGAACTTGTACTAATGTCCCCCACTGCCCTTTCTCTGGGGACCCTTGTATTTCAAAATTACAAACTTAGTTATTCCAAAGACCATTGAAACCTCAAGAGAGTCAGTATCTTGCATTGACTGCTCTGTAGAGTTTTTACTGACAACTCCCTGTCATTTTCCCTGATCAAATCAGTTCTGTCTTGAGATAGAATAGAATATATCATGCCAAAGGAGACTCGGACCTTAGCCCTGTAATGCAGTCTTGTGGCACCTCTTGAACTGCTGGCCCTGGTTTCCTTGCCAGTGAAACACATGCGGATTTGGATTGGATAGCAGTGGTCACAGGTGCAGAGACCCGGGACCGTTTCTTCTTTTTTAGCCTAGAGTTGGAAAGCAGTTGAAGTGTTAGGGCAGAGTGCCTCCCATGCCCCACTAGTCCTGCTCTTCTTCCTCTTTCTTTTTACTCATCTGCAAACCCTGAGCGAGCTGTGTCGAGAGTATAATTCTGCTTTTGTTTTTTTTACTGGTTTGTCTTTTTTTTAGATTTGTGGAAGATAAGATGTGGGTTACGTTTTTGGAGGGAAGCTCTGCCTTGAATGTTCTTAGCCTGAGTGGTAAAGAGGTAAGGTGGCATTTGTTGGATTCTAAACTAATTTGAAATTCAGCCTCTGATGATCATATTTTTTTAGACATACAGCAGAATGATCTAAATGCATTTTCAGTTAAGAAGGCTACAAAACCTAGCATGCGTGAGAATTCTGACAGGCCTGAAGTTTTTCCGGTCCCTCCCAAGAGGGGAATGTATGAAGAAGCATTTTTAGGAGGATGCCTGTCCTTGACCTTTGTGTTCAACATAGCAGCAATATTCTGACAAGAGAAATAAACAAAATGCATCTGACTTTGGGAAAAAAAAAACTAATAAATTTGACTCTTTGCTAAATTAGGGAGGGAAAAAGGAAGAAGAAAGCATTATTACCGCCTAATTTGCTTTTTATTATGATGTAAAAGGTTTTAAATTTTTAATTGGAGTTGATATTCTGGCTCATGTAGATAGTAGGAGAAATTTCCAACAAATGAAGAAAATGCTTTGTAAGATAATAATGGAGGAAGGTACTCTTTGTTTTTTAGGAACTTAATTTTATTGGCTTTATCATGTTCCTAGTAAAGTTAGTTTTTCAAGCATAGATAAATTGTTTTTATACATAAGTCCATCTTACTGAAACATTTTAGAATTTTTTACTTAATGGAACTATTCTTGGCCTAACATGTCTTTATTCCTCCAAGTGTTACTTCTGTCATTTTTTTTCTGAGTCTATTTATTTTTCTCAATTCTTTCAAAAGAATTGTTAAGTTTCTATGTGTGTGGTTACTACCCAGGACATTTTACAGCGTAGCAATATTCCTTCCATGGTGGGAACTCTGTTGTGTTACTTCCAGCTCTTAGAGGAAAAAAATGTATGCATGGGTATTGCTTTTTAAATCAGTGTTTTACAAATTTGTTTATTTCCTGAATGTAATATTCATCTGTTCATGCAAAAGTAGATTGGGAAGGGGCCCAGCACAGTAGCCTAGCAGCCAAAATCCTTACTTTGCACACTCTGGGATCCCATATGGGCGCTGGTCTAATCCCGGCAGCCCTGCTTCCATCCAGCTCCCTGGTTGTAGCCTGGGAAAGCAGTCGAGGACGGCCCAAAGTCTTGGGACCCTGCATCTGTGTGGGAGACCCCTGGGAGGCTCCAGGCAACTGGCTTTGGATTGGCTCAGCTCTGGCCGTTGCGGTCACTTGGGGAATGAATCACTAGACTGAAGATCTGCCTCTCTGTCCTCCTCCTCTCTGTATATCTGACTTTGCATTAAAAGTGAAATAAATCTTTAAAAAGAAAAAAGTAGATCAGGAAGGGCCAGCATTATGGTGCCCTGAGTTAAGCTACCACTTACAGCACCAACATCCCATGTCAGCATGCAGGGTAGAGCTCCAGCTGCTGCACTTCTGATTCAACTTCCTTCTCATCCACTGGTAAGGCAGTGGATGGTGGTCCAAGTATTTGGACCCCCCACCACCCATGTGTGAGACCCAGGTGGAGTATTTGGCCTGATCATTCAGGGATTGAACCAGCCATAGGAGATCTCTCTCTCGTTCTTTTAAGTAAATCTTAAAAATATATATATATATATATTATGTATGTGTATTATATATATATTATGTGTATTATATATATATTATGTATGTGTATGTGTGTGTACAAATCAAGAATTCACATTTTTTAAAAGACCATTCTTTTATCAATATGAAATAATCTCTGCTCATCTTCCATGTATATATGTATAATGTGTATAAGCATCATATAATAGCACACGTTCACACAGTGTAATATACGTGTATGCAGTTATAGTCAGAGACACAAATGATGCCAAGTCATCACCCTTACTGAATCTTTACCTGAGTATTATGTTATGGACTTCTTTCAATTCAAAAAATATGTTACTTTTACTGGATGTATGAATTTTGTTGTGTAAACAGTATATAATTTATTTAAGCAAACTCCTATTAGTAGACATTTGCATTATTTTTAATCTTTAATTTTCTCAAAAACCAATATCAGCATTGCAAGCTATTCATTAGGTTAAATTCCTAAATTAAACTTAATTTGTCAAACAATATAGACATACTAAATTTTGATACTTGTCACCAAACTACCCTTTGGAAAGCTTTGGCTAGAGGTCGTAATATATTTGGATTTCTGCTCCCTAATGTCCTAATTGGTAGCAGATGTTTGTTTTGACACTTACAGTTTAAATGAGGATTTCTTCCTGGCACACAGTCTGTTTGACTAATGGATCTTGTGGCTAATGACAGATTTAAAAAAAAAAAAACATTTTCTTGATACATTGACAGAACATGGTATAACTTGATTGTAATGTATTGATTTTCTTAGATCATACTCAGCTGAAAGGTTGCTCAAATTTATGGCAAAGACAGAGTGGTGGCTTCACAGATGTAAATGATCTTTAATTCTGTCTGTATTCCTCTGACATTTGAATTGCTAAAACCGTATAGTTAGCATATAGCAGTTGACAGCGTAGCAACTCTTGGGGCCATCACGCCATGTCAGGAAGAACCAAATCAACAGAACATATGTTTTAAAATTTTTTCTGCTGGCTCTTGTTGCTGTTTCATGTGGGAGTAATAGTTTAATATGTGGGTTAAAATTGAAGCATAAAATTTTGCAGCAGAGTTGTTGGTAAATTTATATCTGGTCAGGAAAAAATGCTGACTACAGTAAAGGCAGTTTGAATCTGTGAAGTCTGGAAAAGAATGCGTTTGTGTAGAACCTCAGTCTTTAAAAGGGGAAATCTGGAGCAGTCTTTTAGCTACTTAACTTAGACTATGTGACAGGATTTTGTTGAATCAAGTCTAACTAAACTAGCTATCTGTACCCCAGTGCATTGGATGAATAAAGCAGCCCTCGAATTCCAAAATAGTGAATTTCATATCTCTTTTACTTAACTAGTTATTGAATCGGACTATAACTATTACTTTAAAAAGTCCAGACTGGATAAAAAATTTGGAAGAAGAAATGAGTCTAGAGAAAATTAGCATTGTGTTGCCGTCGTCAACAAGTTCTACCCTGCTGGGTGAAGATGCCGAGGTCACAGCTGATTTCGACATGGAAGGTTTGTGTAGTAAAAACATTTACTTCTGTACTTGCTTCCCATCAGTCTTAATTTCCTTCTTTCTGGAGCACACATAGCAGTATTATTAATTAGAGTCTGTGTTTGTATTCTGCTGTATTTATTTTGTTTTTCTTTAGATGTTAAGTATATTTTAATTGTGTCTGTTACTCAAATATTAGAGGACCTGCATACATATTATATTTGGTCTCAGTAGTTAAGTTTAAGTTAAAAGAAAATCCCAAGTGGGTGCTTTCAGAGCAGAAATGGATTTTAAATAATTAATAATTACTGTAAAAGAAGATAACTTTCAATTTAAAGAGATTTAGAGTGGCTGGGAACATACATTTGAAGCTTAATCCACCTGTAAGTGTAACCAATTGAAGTTTTGAGAATTTGGAACAGACCATTGAGATTTAATCATTTCTTTAAACATGATTAAAATATGCTTGCATTCTAACACTATATGCTATTTTACTCTGGCACATTTTTACCATATTATGATGCCATGTACAGCTGTGTACCACATTTAAGAGTTGGCCACCTAGCAAAATTATCTTGGTTTTGCTTTCTCTGTTCATTACTTACCTAGGTCACACATGTTCATATGGTACCTTTTATGTACCAGGTACATGTTAAGTGCATGAGATGTGAGAACTGTAATGTTTGTTCTCCCAGAATACTCAGTTTAATGGATGCTATATGTAAGTTATCAGACACTTAAAATAAAGTGAAATTAATGCAATAGTGCTGTGATCATTCAGGATAAAGTTGCTTATCCTGAGTATGGAAAGGCTCCATGTTTCCCCTAGCAGAAGTAAAAGTAATGTTGAGAATCTGAAGACCTGAGCGAGACTTGGATTAAAGACAGTGGATGGCATGACCTAGGGAGGGGCCATATGCACAAGCCTAGAGGAGACAGGATCAGAGTTGGTTACGTAGATATGTTTGTAGGAAGCAAATGAAACATGCCAGAAAAGAAACAGGCAGGAGTGGAACATGTCGGATTTAATATGTTAGTGAGCTCAGTGAGTGCAGAAATGAGCCATTGGATACAGCAGTAACTACCGGGAAGAGTGCTGTGACTTCCCAGGCAGCTCCCAGAGCACATAAATCTAGGGCATCTAACACTTTGGCCAGTAGAATTATACTGAGACAGGAGAAAACAAATCAAATATGGAGAAACAGAAAGGTCAGGATCAGATATGAAGAAATGGCCTGAGGACAGATGAAAGACTGCCCATGAAAGCGAAGTGAGGACGAATCAAGTGGCAAAGAGCTATGAGAATCTTGTAGCTTAAAATTAAGGAATGAGGACGTAACAGGGAAGGAGTGGTCAGTAGTGTCTGTCCCACAGAGGGCTGAGAAGAAATGAAGACAGAAACGTCTGGTTTAGCAGCCAGGAGGGAAGCTGTTGGTGCCGCTCCTGAGAGGCCCGCTAGTGGGGTGGTAAATCCAGGTGATAGAAACTGGTAGGAATGGAAGGCCATGCAGAGGGAGTGCCCACAACTCCTCAGAGAAGTTTGGCGAGGCTGGCACTGTGCTATAGTGGGTAAAGCCACTGCCTGTGGCGTTGGCATCCTTTATGGAATGCCAGTTTGAGTCCCAGCCACTCCACTTCTAATCCAGCTTTATGCTAATGTGCGTGGGAAAACGACAGAGGATGGCCCCCGTACCTGGGGCCCTGCATCCACTGGGGCCCTGCATCCACGTGGGAGACCTAGATCAAGTTCCTGGCTTCCGCCTGGCCCACCCCTGGCTGTTGTGGCCATTTGGGGAGTAAGCCAGTGGATGGAAGATTGATCTCTCTTCCTCTCCCTCTCAGTAACTCTGCCTTTCAAAAAAATAAATAAATCTTACAAAAGAGAAAGGTTTGGCTAAGATTGAAGAAATAAAAAAAGGGGCAGTTGGTCCAGAGAGATTGGAGACTCCACTGATGGTTGTTTTGAAATGGGAGAGGCTTCAGAATACTTCATATTAATGGGAAAGCTGATAGCAGTAGCAGAATGAGGCAAATAATAGAGCAGTGTTCCTGAGAACACCCGGGGTGGGGGTGCAGCACCTCGTTCGTTCCGTCCAGACACCTGAGGGCCAGCGCGTGATTGGCCTCCAGCATGGGGGATGTTGAAGGAAGAGTCCTCTTTTCTCAGCTGAAGTGGTGAAGCTGTGTGCAAGAAGGGGACAGTTGAGTGCTGGGAGGGGTGAGGAGCCCGGGGTGGGGAGAGTCAGCAGGGAGTCCAGGAGAGACTAAAGGCCACTGGAGTGTCAGGATGGTGGGGTTTCTGGAACAGCAACACTCAGCAGGCGAAGGGTAGCGACAGAAAGGCCAAAAATAAAGGAAAAAGTGGAATGAGTGCGGGATTGGAGTTGGAATGAGTGCGGGATTGGAGTTCTGTCAGGCAAGTACAATGCAAGAGTAGTGAAATTGAGGAAAGATTGAGATCAAGAACCCTAGAACCTGAAGCTAGATATATAAAAGAGAGAGAAAGCAAGCAAGCAAGCAAGCAAGCAAGCAGGGAGGGAGGGATTCGAATGAAGAGTGATGACGCTCTGTAGCTGATGAGATCAGGAGAGAGAGTGAGTGAGGAGAGGGCCTGGGCAGTCAGGAGGTGCTGGTCAGAAGAAGTGTCTGGTTTAGTGTTTCAGGTTGGCTGCAGTTCTGAAGGGTGTGTGTTTGAAGTGGAGGTGAGTCTAAGGACAGGGCCAGGGCGTTTGGTTTTTGAGTGTGTTACCCCGTGGAGATCTGCATATTGTGAGAGATATTAGGACCCCCGCTCACTGTTTGGCTCTCAAGTCTTTGATGGATGGGTTCAAGTGCCCTGGAGGATGGAGGCTGGAGATTTGTCTGCCAAACAGGGTGTACAGTGTTTTGCATAAACTCTTGATGGCATAAACCTAAAAAAACAAGAGGGCTTTGTTCAGGATTGGGAGTCATGCTCAGGTATCGGAATTGGTTGCAAGGAGGCTCTTGAGCCACGGGTTTCATTCTGAGCGGAAGTGGAGATGAAAACACCTCAGAGTCGAACTGGTCCTCAGTTAACCCCAAGAGGGTCTGTGCTGAGTCAGGGGAGCAGGGTGGGAGATTTGCAGGGAGAGCTGTGAGTTGGCCAACACTGCCTGCAGCAGTGAGGCAGAGGAAGGCATGGGCCCCATGGAGGCAGCCCTGCTTCAAGTGGCCAGTCACCCCGTGCAGCTGGCTGTTGTAAGAGAATGGGTCTGTTGGTATTTTTCTGTAAAAACATTTATATTAGTTGTGGTTTGATTTGTATGAAATGTTGCACATGCCTACATATTTCATCCATCTATGTTTGCAGTGTCATCATGTTAGAATGTTTTGGGGTGTTTTTAAACCGCCTCTGAGGAAGTTACCACAGGGTACCTTGGCTCACCCTGCTTCTCCCTAGGTGACGTTGATGACTACAGTACTGAAGTGGAGGAACTGCTTCCTCAGCACCTCCAGCCCTCCTCGAGTTCCGGCCTTGGCACTTCCCCGGGCTCCTCGCCCCGGACCAGTCCCTGCCAGTCACCTACGATAGCAGAGTGTCCCATACCTGCGCTTCCCACCAGGCCAAGCCGAGCACCCTCAAGAACTCCTGGGCCTCCAAGTTCACAGGGTAGGCTGAATTTGAAAGTTTCATCTGCCTATCTCTAGCCAATGTGTCTGATTTTTGACAAGCTATTGCTGTTTAACCTTTGTGTGAATATGCTAAAGTATACCCTGTTTTCTCTATATAAAAAAGAGGAAAATTTGGGGGCCCAACACAGTAGCCTAGTGACTGAAGTCCCGGCTTGCACGTGCTGGGATCCAATATGGGCGCTGATTCTAATCCTGGCAGCCCTGCTTCCCATCCAGCTCCCTGCTTGTGGCCTGGGAAAGCAGTCGAGGACGGCCCAAAGCCTTGGGACCCTGCACTTGTGTGGGAGACCTGGAAGAAGCTCCAGGCTCCTTCTGGCTTCAGATCGGCTCGGCTCTGGCTGATGCAGCCACTTGGGAAGTGAATTATTGGATGGAAGATCTTTATCTCTCTTCCTCTTTGTATATCTGACTTTCCAATAAAAATACATAAATCTAAAAAAGAATAAATTTTGGAGATGCTAAGCAGTCCAGGGAAAAGAAATTGTCACCAGATGATATATATATATATATATATTTTTTTTCTATGTGGTTTGGGTTGTCCCTAACAACTTGATGGTTTTCTGTTGTTATGTAAGAATCCGTGACTATTTGTATTTTCTTTTCCCCTCTTTTTACTGATGAGCAAGCCGTAATGAGTTATTTAATGCTTTGGGTTGCCTTGGTAGGACCGCTCAGTGAGCTCTCCTTACCTGGGGCCTCGGTGACACCTAGGAACATTACTGAGACTGTGGTGCGAAAGGGTGTTTCAATCTAGACTGTTTTTGTTATTCAGACTGAAAATGTGTGCTGTTCTCTTACACTGCAATAGAAATGTTAAAAATGGGGTGCTGTGCAGCGCCAGGTTGTCATGGCGGAGCTGCAGCAGCTCCGTGTACAGGAGGCCGCGGCTCTGGTGAGGAATCCAGAGAGGGAGAGCGTGCTCAAGAGGCAGGGCCTGATGTTCCAGTGCAGCTCCGACTGCCGTGAGGACAGCCGGCCGTCCATGCAGCAGGTGCCCCAGTGCATCGAGCGCTGCCATATGCCCCTGGCTCATGGCCAAGCCCTGGTGACAGGCAAACTGGAGAAGTTCCGAAACCACCCTGCCTGGTGCACCATGCACTGCAACGACAAAGCCAAAGATTCCATAGATGCAGGGACTGACTAGTCCCAGGTGAAGCAGCAGCTGCACAGTTGTGTGACCAAGTGTGTGGTCCCAACCATGACCAAGAAAATGTAGGAGGCACTCTCGAACATGGGGAAGTAAAAGTGCCAGTGGCCACCAGGGCAGAGGGAAGGAATCTGTTTTAAAAGAATGGATATTTACACCTTTTGTACAGAAGTTTATGAAGGAAATCAAAGAAACCAGCAGGTGTAAAACATGTCATTTGCCTCCGGACACTAGTCCTTTATATTCCAGTCCTTGGAACTGAAGTGAACAAAATGGTGCTAAAACCCAGAGACGGCACAGGAGAGTGTTTCCAGGCCTGCATTTCACGTGCCAAGTGTCCATCCTACGAGTGGGGCCTCCCTTGTACCACAAGTCCAGGCTTTCCAAAGCACTGGATTCTCCTTACCTGCACAGGCGGCAGCAGGCTGGGGCTGCATCTGCCGGGCCTGCGTGCTGGTGGAGGGTGCAGACCGGGCTTCAGTGGGCTGCCAGCATCCTGCTTCCCCGAGGTTTCACCACACCATCATTCTTACGCTGTAAACACAATCCATGAGGTCATTGGTTTAGAAAAGGAAACTGCCTCTCCAGGTCTTTGTTAGAGCTGGTTTTTTACATACAAGGGCATGGGCCTGGCGCGGTGGCGCAAGTGGTTAAGTCCTCGCCTTGCACGCCCGGGATCCCATATGGGCGCCGGTTCTATCCCGGCAGCCCCGCTTCCCTTCCAGCTCCCTGCCTGTGGCCTGGGAAAGCAGTCGAGGCCGGCCCAAAGCTTTGGGAACCTGCACCCGCGTGGGAGACCTGGAAGAGGCTCCTGGCTTCGGATCGGCATAGTATCGGCCGTTGCGGCTCACTTGGGGAGTGAATCATCGGACGGAAGATCTTCCTCTCTGTATCTCCTCTGTGTATATCCGCCTTTCCAATAAAAAAATAATAATAAAAATAAATCTTTAAAAAAAATACATACAAGGGCATGAATAATTTCAGATGTGGAGTTGGAAGGAAGAGTAGTTTCAGGAGGAATTTTGCAGGACTCCTGTGGGTGTCCTTTCTGGCATGAACCTTCATCTCCTGACATTCTCACTGCATCCCAGCCTGGAGATGTCACCCAGGGGACGGAAAGCACAGCTCCCCTCACACTGAGTAACCAGATAAATCTGTCACAGCACTTTCCCCATTGAAGGGGAAGAACATTTTCACAGTGGTAACTACTGGTATGCGGGCATGAACAGTGAAAGATGGTTTCGTGGCTGTGTGATCAAAGAACTGAAGTACTGGGTTTTGGGGGAAACATGAATTTGTGTAAGAGTGGAATGAAAGCCAAGCACAGCAGTGCTTACTTAGCCCCCAAAGTAACACCATGCTGACAATCCCAACAATAGGAAGGCCGCAGGAGAAAAAGCAACTTGGGCTAGGATGAGCCCCAACTGCCTGGGATCAAAGGCAGGCAGCCCCACGTCAGCAAATGCCATGTTTGGGGACTTGGCAACATGCAGTGTTGTGCCCCAGCCTGGCCTCTTACGTTTGATAAGTACTTTTTTTTTAAGGACTTGCTGAAATGACAGTATATCTTATCTATTCACTGCTTGAATGCTGTGATATATTTTCCTAATTGGTTTTAAATGATTAACAAGGTTAAATTTCTCTCTCATAGAAAAAAAAATGTTAAAAATGAACAAAATAGAACATTCATTATCCATACACACAGTACTTTAAAACATTCCTAGAAAAATTGAATGAGAATAAGCTTGTTTTGATGCACTTTGAAATCTTTGCCTAGTTTCTTGCTAACTGTGTTTTTCCTGAAGAGCTCTCCTGCGTGCCTGCGTCCCTGTCTGCTGACACGCCTTTGGAACCTGGTCTCCTCAGCTGCTGTGCTTGTTTTAGGTTCTCCTGTCGACCCTCAGCCTGCCTCCCAGCAGCCTCCGAAAGATGCTGCCCAGGCCTTGGAACCCAAGAGGCCACCCCCACCCCGCCCAGTGGCCCCGCCGCAAAGACCTGCGCCCCCACAGAGGCCACCTCCACCCTCAGGTAACGCACTGCTCTACTTTCATTTCCACTACAATTAGAACTTTGAACACCATACGTTAAAATGTATTGTTTTTATGTAGTTGTTCTTTGGTTTTTCTGTAACGAGCATGGTAGGAACAATAGAGAAAAACTTGCTTGGGAGCCTTCTTGAGCTTGTGTTTGTAGCTGCCTTCTTACCTGGGACCAGGTGTTTAGCAGTTAGATGTGTAAGCTGTTCTTAAAAGTAGGTTTAATCTTTCTCTTCACAATCCTGATTTTTGGTTTTTATATGTATAATATCACTTAATTCTATAAAATTTATGACTAGAACAAAAGGGCACATAGTTAATATAAAGTTTTGTGTATTTGTTATCTTTACATGTAATTTTACTCTTATGTGTTGAATACTAGCTTTTTGGTATTATGTGATAATAATAATTCATACATAATATTTAACATCATGAATGCTATAGTAAATCCTTGACATTTCATTTCTTTGTTTAATGTCATTTCCTTTGTGCTGCATATTTCTTATGAACTATAAGGGGCTAGGAGTCCTGCACCTGCTAGAAAGGAATTTGGAGGTAACCATTTACATTTATTATCCTGTATGAATCTTGGTTCTTCAATATTTTGGAGTCAGATGCCTAAAAATCAAAGACATATTAGGTTTGTTTGACAAACAGATGACATTTATTGTCCAAATTAGAAAACAGCTCCAAACTTCTGTTACGTTCTTGATAAGTGAAAGATTACAGATTAATTTTGTTTGTGAGTAGACTAAATAAGGGATTCCATTTTCCAGGCACACACAGTTAAACTTCTGTCCAAGGACTGATTTCCTTTTTTTATAATAAATAATAAATTTGTTACAAAGATCGAATTCCCAAAAGTCATAATAATTTTGAAGGTGGTTCAAGTGTGGTGAATGAAGAACATTTCCGAAATATTTGACTAATCATTTCCTACGACATCCTTTTTCTAGTGAAAAAACTTGCGGAATGCAATTTAAAAGTAGCAGTTACTTGGTCTACGTGAAAGATTGTCACAGAGCTCAGTTGGACAAGTACATTTGACAAGTGTTATTAAGTCCAGTTCTCCAGAAGGGTTGAGACAAGCTGTCGCAGTTCTCAGAAGAGCTTCTGCAGATCTGCTTTGTTTTTTTTTTTAAAGATTAATGTGTTTATTTGAAAGAGTGATGGTGGTGAAGAGAGAGGAGAGAAAGGGAAAGAGGAGCCTTCCATTTGCTCCCCAAATGGCTGCAACAGTCAGAGCTGGACCATGCTAAAGCCAGGAGCTGGGAACTCCATCCAGGTTTCCCACAGGAGTAGCAGGTGCCCAAGCAGTCAGGTCATCTTCTGCCTTCCCATGCACATTTGCAGGGATAAGGATGGAAATCATTTTATCTCTTTAGAGTCCCATTGGATATACGCACAGGGTCTATTTCTGTTCTATCTGTTGACCCTTCTGAGCAGTTCAGGTGCCACTACAGACTGTGTGTGCAGTTTTTAATGATTCTTTTGTAAGAATCATTACCTTCACTGTTTGTAGTCTGGGAAAGCAATTGAGGATGGACCAAAGCCTGGGAACCCTTCACCTACGTGGAAGACCCAGAGGAAGCTCCCGGCTTCCGGCTCTGGATCGGCCCAGCTCTGGCCATTGCGGCCGCTTAGGGAGTGAACCAAGGAACAGAAGATCTTTGTTTCTCCTTCTATGTCGATCTGACTTTCCAATAAAAAATAAAATCTTAAAAAGTGAATAATTAGTTTGGCATTTCATCATCTGTAAAATACTAACCGGTCCATTAATTTCAGAAAACCCTAATTTTTCCCACTTCAAACTCTTTTACTATTTATGTTTTTATAAATTCTATTTGTCATCTGCTTTAATTAGAAAACTAATATAGAACATAAGTTATATGATTTTCTGTGAAAGTTATATTAACCACAAAATAGCTTACTCAGAAATGTATTCTGATAAATTTATTCTTTTCGTATTTCTTTTGTAGGAAGTATTTGCAAGATTTTGTTTTATCCTGTAATCAATAATTAAGGCAGTAACCTTGGAAAAAGTTATTATACTTTCAGGATTTTTGAAAATAACATATTAACAAAAAAAACAAAACACAGTAAAAACTAACTTCTCAGCATCCCATCTAGTCACAGAAATTTAAGATGAAGTCGAGATTTCACTTATAATTGATTTTCCTTTCTGACTGCCAAATACCATTTAATTCTGGATTTAGGGAATGAGCACCGTAAATCAAAGGCATTCATTAAACATTTTTAAAGTCGTACTACTCTCATCTCAGCTACACAAAGTGAAGCATCATTCCACTTCCATTCTTCAGTTTGAGGAAACACAAGGCCCGCGCCTGCCCAGTTGTTAGACATTGGAAGTACTTGGGCGTGCATTGATACCTTTGAGGAAATTTAGAGCAATAAAAGAATCTCGTTGAACCATACATTTGAACCACAGTTGTTTTATGTGCCTGTCTGTCATTCTGAACTGTGGGCCCTGAACCATGTATAGCTTTTCTTCTTTCTCTGAAAAGGTGTTGGAGCCCCTCCCAGCCCTGGGGTAGCTAGGAGAGAGATGGAAGGTAACAAGACTTGTGTATTGTGGAAATGGTTCCCACGTGTTATAGCTAAATGTCAGCCCCTCCAGTGTTTAGAATGTACTAATTTCTTACTCCAACTGCGATGTCTGCTCCCAGGTCTAATGTATATCTTGTATTTCTTTTTTCCTTTTCTTTCTATGTTATGTCTGTTTCTAATGAGTATCCATCTAATTTCCCTGAAATTTTATGTCATTTGTACTCTGTTTCATATATTGCATATTTACTGAGGTTGTGAAATTACTGTTTAAAAAGAATTAACTTCTTTTCAGAAAAAATTAGGTGTTTTGAAATGCATGTTACTAACCTGAGGTTTTAAAAACTAGTAATTATAATTAAGCTCCATATGCTCACTTAAAATGTAGTATTTTGTGTAGTATTTCAGCAGTGTAAGATAGGTTTGTGTTTATTGGTACGGAGCTAAATTTGTTTAAGATAACATTAAGACTAGGGACAATCTGTTAAAATTATAGTACTTGAAGGGCAAATGTATTTTTCAGGAACTGCTTGGATTTCTTTTGAAAAGGGAGAGATCTAAGGGGCCCTCCTACTCATTTGGGTCTGAATGATTTATTATATTTAATCCTTCAGCTTCTTTCCTAAGGAGTTCAACTGCCTTTAAACATTCTCTTCCACCTCACGGCCACCCGCCCCCCCAAAAAAAAACAAACATTGTCTTCCTTAAGTCAAATATTTGGTAATAAGATACACTTGTCTTCTGCCTTCATTCTAGGATTTTGTCATAGAAATCTAATGAGCTCATCACAAGATAACTTCCATGCGCAGCAGTGCGCACAGCACAGCCCCCTGAAACGGTCATCTTAGGAGCCCTAGGAGCCCGTTAGCCGACTTGAAACGCATAGCTCTGCCTCCTGCTCAGGAGCTGTTTGTCCGGCAAATGGCTTGTCTTTGTGACCAGCCCCCCAGTTGACCTTGTTTTCTTGCTTCATGGCGAGAGGTGTGTGGGAAATGGCCCCTAGAGAGATATATCAGGCGACAGTCTGCATACACTTGTCTCCTGTTATCTAACTGGGTCAGGTTTTTAGGACTGATCATATTCTTGGCCATTATCCGAAACAGAGTACTTGTTTTGTTGCTGTCTCGTGCCCCTGTTCCTGCTGCAGAGTAGAACCTTAGCTGCTGCCGGGCCCTGCGCCCTGTTGCTTCCTTGCTGACTTAGGACTGATTGTTTTCCCTTCTTGCTTCAAAGCACCCAAAAGCCCTGGGACGACCCGAAAGGATCACGTAGGTAAAAACCGTTTGTAGCTACTTATCCTTTGAAAATAAGCAAGGAAATAAATGCTTGGAATGTAAATGCATGGTTTCTTGTATTTTTTGCTTTTTTTTTTTTTTTCCCTTTAAACTTAAATATGTGCTGTGATATCTTTGTTGTAGGACGCAGTCAGCCTTCCCCTCAAGCAGGACTCCCAGGCCCGGCACCTGCTGGATACAGTGCAAGCACAGTCCGACCGGTAAATCCAACCCGGCCCCGGGGCCCTGGGGCTTTGCTTGTGGGCCTCAGTCATTCCTGCTGGTCTTATTATGTTGGAGAAACCAGGCAACCCTCTCGGACCTTAGTTGCCTCAACTCTCAGATGTAGAGCATTGCCAAGTATCCTTAAACTCTCATGGTGCATTAGTATACTCAAAAATGCCTCCTTGTGTAAAGGTGATGTACTTCATTATGATTACTAAACAGATATCTTGAATCTCTGTACAGAAGGAGGTGGTGGCCACAATTGCTTCCAAAATTAATGGTAAATAGAATTCAAAGCTAGATTAATTTCAGCATAAACATTTTGAAATTGTATATATGTGAGATCTTCAGAGAGCTAAACAGACATGCATATTATGAAAAAACTCCGTAATTTTAGGCCCGACGCCATGGCCTAGCAGCTAAAGTCCTCGGCTTGAACATGCCCAGGATCTCATATGGACGCCGGTTCTAATCCCAGCAGCTCCACTTCCCATCCAGCTCCCTGCTTGTGGCCTGGGAAAGCAGTGGAGGATGGCCCAAAACCTTGGGACCCTGCACCCATGTGGGAGACCTGGAGGAAGTTTGTGGCTCCTGGCTCTGGATCAGCACAACACCAGCCATTGCGATCACTTAGGGAGTGAATCATTGGATGGAAGATCTTCCTCTCTGTCTCTCCTCCACTCTGTATATCTGACTTTGCAGTAAAAATAGATAAATAAATAAATTAAGTAAAGCTCCATAATTTCAAAGCAATTTTGTACCAGACTAAATTATTAAATCCATGAACCTTTTGAAATACACTCAGGTTTTTTTTTTAAGATTTATTTATTTTTAATGCAAAGTCAGATATACAGAGAGGAGGAGAGACAGAGAGGAAGCTCCTCCATCCACTGATTCACTCCCCAAGTGGCCTCAAAGGCCACAGCTGAGCTGATCTGAAGCTAGGAGCCTGGAGCCTCCCCCAGGTCTCCCACATGGGTGCAGTGTCCCAAGGTTTTGAGCCATCCTCAACTGCTTTCCCAAGCCACAGGCAGGGAGCTGGATGGAAGCGGGGCCACCGGGATTAGAACCAGTGCCCTTATGAGATCCCAGAGCATGCAAGGTGGGGACTCCAGCCACTAGACTACTGCACCAAACCTAGTTGTTTTTTTTAAGTGATATTTTATTCTGTGTTCTGAGTAACTGATGAGGATGATTATAAAATCATCCTTCAATTGAGATTTTAACTAGATTTCAAGGAAAAAATTATGAGCAATTTTTCTTAAACTGGGAAAGCAAATGATGTTGCAGGTTTTTCCCATCTTGTCCTTTTCTGTGTGTTTATTATGTTTTCTCATATATAGGATTTTTCCCTTATTTACCTCAGTGAAACTATTCTCTAGCTACAACAGGTAGTCCAAAACAGAAAGAAAGTGAAACCCGTAATTAGTGACATAGGTGTGATTCATGGAGCCTGGCGTTGCTGAGGTGCCCGTGTCTTCAGTCAGGAAATGGAGACTCTGCTCCAGCTGGGAGTGAAGATGCTGAGAAGTCGACGGAGCAGGAGCACGGCCCCTGCACCTTGCATGTCCGCTCCATCCTCCAGCTTGGTGGCCGTGGGCACGTTTAGACATTGCTTTTTCTTTCAAGCTAGAGATTCTTTTTTTTTTTTTTTAATTATTAACATTGTATTATGTGAAACAGTTTTATAAGCACTGGGGAGTCCCCCCACCCCTCCCACACCCCTCCTCCCATAGTGGATTGCTCCATCTTGCTGCATAACCACAGTTCAAGTTCAGTTGAAATTCCTTCATTGTGAGCATGTACCTAGCATAAAGTCCAGCGTCTTATTGTCCAGATAAGTTCAGTGGCCTCTTGGGGAGACCTTCTCTGGTCTGAAGGTAGAGCTAACAGAGTAAAGTTCCGGTCAGTTAAAACCCCCAACAAAACATCAGCGTCAATATACAATGTTATGGGATTAATTGGTATAGTGTTGAGTGAACAATATGTTAAAAAAAAAAAAAAAAGTTCAATTCTTCCACTCCTCTGGGTTTAGACAGTATCAGTGACAGGTTCAAAAAGTAACAATCAACCAAGCATAAATTACAGATTAAATCCAGGCAAACATTAGAAGTCTGACATAGTATTGAGTAGACAATATGTAAAAATTACATGTAAGTTCTTGATTACCTTCTACAACTATTTCAATGTCACCTCCTCAATTGAGGTGTGTAACAATTTTGGGGGGTGTTGCAGAGAAATCTCTCATACCTTGCTAATGAGTACTTGTTTATGTTCCATCTAATAGTGTATGAGTGAGTCCTTGATGACCTATCTTTATTGTTCTTTGGTTATCTCATCCTATTAGTGTGTGTATAAGTGTGTGTGTGTGTGTAGGGGGGGAGGGGGGTTTAGGAGGAACCTTGTTGGTCTTTATAGGGGGTGGAGGCCCAGAGCTGAAACTAGGTAAGGACTGGAGAGGATTCCTCCCCCACTGTCCCGCCAGAAGTTTATTGATCTTCTGGTTCTGATGACCAATCGTGGTTCCTAGTTGTTGTTCTGATGTCGTTGGTTCCTATGTGGAAGGACTCGGGCTTCTTCCATCTCGTGTAGTTGGTCCAAAGAGAGGGGGTGTCTGTCATCTGGGTTCACGGCATTCGGAGGCATTCCAGATCCCCGTGTTCTCTTTGGCAGTTGCGTTGACGTTCTTGTGTCCGTTCTGATAGACCTTGGTGGGAGTCCGGGAGTCCTTATGGGTGGGGGATAGGCCTCCTCCAGTCCCTCTGTTCCGCTCTGGGGTTCTCCCCTATTCTGTGCATATGACCACTTGTTAATAGACTGTTTGGGTCGTTCCTAATTCCCCTGTGTGTCATTATAGCTTTTGCTGTTGTCTAATGCTGGTCTGGATCTATCAACTTTAAGATACTTATCTAGTTCCTGCAGGTTACACTACGTGGATTCCTAGCTTTTTCAAGGGAAATGAGAGATTTCTCTGTGTTCCCACCCAGTTACTGTGTATCGTAAGGAATTGGCATTATATTGGGAGTTACAATCATTCGGAACTTATGGGGTGAAACCATGATAGCAGCAGATTCGTCTGAGGGAGATTTACAGCCGTTGGAAATCTTTAGGATTGCTTGGTGTCCCCAAAACGCTATAGCTTCAGCATGAAGCCGTCTTGAGCAGCATAGAGAACCAATTTCTCAGGGCTCCCTGGCCGGGTGGCCAGCAGGCAAAGCCTGGCGCCAACTGGCGCACTGGCCGCCCCGAAGCAGCCTTCCGAGTGGGCGTGAAGACTGCTGGTTGCATTCCGGGAGACGAACTTGGCCGAGCTGGGGGCCCTGGCAGCAGCCATGTTGCCAGGGGTCACGTCCCCGAGCGTCAGCCCCGCCCCTCTTCCCGGCCCGGGCTTGGGGAAGCTAGAGATTCTTAATACCCCACCTCTGAGGAATAGTTTGAAGATGAAATTGAAATGCCTATACCATGCTTAATTAAAACAGTACCTGCCTATACCATGCTTAATTAAGACAGTACCTGCCTATACCATGCGTAATTAAGACAGCACTTGGCATCCAGTAAACAAAAATAAAAATTGGAGGATTTGAAAAAAATGTGTTAGTTTGGAAATGATAGGTTGATCTAGTAGTTACCATGCTGGGTGGGATACCAATGCCCTGTGTTGAAGTGCCTGGGGTCGGATGCCCACCATGCTTCGGACTTCAGCCTCCTGCTGCTGCCCACCCTGGGAGGGTGTGACTCAAGGAGTCCCCGGCACCTAGCTGACCTCCCTGAGAACCACTGCTGATCTGGCCCATTGCTGGCTGTGCAGGCATTTGAGGATGAACTCTCTCTCTCTGCCTCTGAAAGAAAGAAAAATAAGTCTGTGTGCAAATGGCTATAGAGAAAAATGAAAATGGCAGGATGGGGAATAATACTACAGAGTACAAAAGTAGGTATTTTCACAAAATCTTTGCTGTTAAAAATAAGTAAATGTGTTGGTGTTGCGTTTCCCATCGTTAGACAATCCCACCTCGAGCTGGGGTTATCAGTGCTCCTCAGAGCCATGCTCGGGCTGCAGCTGGGAGACTGACTCCGGAAAGCCACAGCAAGCCCGCAGAGGCACCCAAAGGTAGGCAGTGTGTTACAAACACCGCTTTTCCTCTATTCACTCCATTTCTGCAATCTCCCACCATCTGGAACATATTGAAATAGAAATATTTTTCCTTTATGCCACAAGAAGTGAGGCTGCTTGTTGGGGGAAAAACAGCAGCTGCATGTCTTCCTAATATTTCAGTGAAAAAGGAAAAAAATAAAAACAGGTTTTCTGGAATACATCTCACATCTGCCAGTCGCTGTTTTCCTAGGTCCAGCGCTGCTTCCTGAGCCGCTGAAGCCACAGGCTGCCAGTGCTGTGCTCCCACCGGCTCAGAAGTTGCAGGAGCCGCTCATCCCAGTGGCGGCACCCGGGCCTCCATCTGCCCCCCAGGCGAGTTTGGAAACACCGCCACAGCCGCCACCCCGGAGCAGGTCCTCCCACAGCTTGCCTTCAGACTCGCCACCGCAACTGCAAGTACGTCTTACTCTGTCTTGGATGCATATGGCACAGTCTTTGAAATACTTATTTTAATTACTAGCTTTTATAAGAGGTAAACAAACATGAGCCTTAATTCTTAGAGTTTTGTCTTTTGGTATTAATAGCATCATGAGACTTCAATAATTGAGGGACGGTTGACACCATAAACTGGTCTCTTGTTAAATTTACTTGCTTGTTTTATTTTTTATTTGAATGATAGAGAAAGACAAGACAAAGAGAGATTTCCCATCCACTGATTCACTCCTTAAATGCCAAGAACCAGGAGCACAATCCGAGTATTCCATGTGGGTGAAACCCACAAACCAAGGACTGGAACTGTCCACTGATGCCCCTCAGAGTGCGTGTTAGCAGGAAACAGGGCTGGAAGCCCAGGAGCCGAGACACAGTCCCGGGCACTCCAACGTGGGTTCCTCAGTTCCCAAACGAATTCTGTTTGTTTGACCGCCTGAAAGGCAGAATCACTAACAGAACTGGGGTTTGCTGATTCCTGCCCCAAATGGCAGCAGCAGCCAAGGCTGAGCCAGGCAGAAGCCAGGAGCCAAAAACTCCGTCAGGGTCTGCCACACAGGTGGCAGGGGCTCTAGCACTCTTCCACTGCTCTCACAGGCACATTAGCAGGGAGCTGGATGGGAAGTGGAGGAGTGGGGTCTTTAGGCAGCGTCCAAACAGATGCTAGAGCCCCAGGTGGCAGCTTACCCCACTGCACTGTAATGTCAATTCCTCAGAGTCTTAAACATTATTCCACATATCCACTGCTGGAGTTTCTTTGTAACCTTTGTTTAGATCAAAACTTCTCAGAGAATGACTCTGGAGTTCAGGGGTGGGGAATGGCTGGGCTTTGGGCCACGTAACATCTACAAAGTCCTTGGGCTGGCCCTGTCAATACAACCACAGGTGGAACTCAAAATTCAATAAATCTATAGCAGGTTAATTTTTAAGTTGATAATTGTCTTTGGCCTCCAGGTGATGTTATAAGTATCTAAATAGCCGTTGACAGAATAAAGGTTCCCTACTCCTACCATAGGCCCAGGTTCTTTAGGACCTTTTTAGGTGGTCCCCAGGTTGTTTTCTTGTTCAAAGTTTGTCACTTCTTGGGTTTTTTTGCATAATTCACTTTGGAAGGTTAAAACTTTTTGATAGACAATAATTAATTTTTATTGATCTCAGTAATAAATTGGGCTTGTCTTATTTGTGAAATATTTATTTATTTTACTTAAAATCAGATTTACAGAAAGAGAGAGAAAGAAAAGAGACAGAGAGCTTCAATCCAGTATTTCACTCCCCAAATAGTCACAATGGCTGGAGCTGGGCTGGCCTGAAGCCAGGAGCTTTTTCTAAGTCTCCCACATGGGTGCAGGGGCCCAAGGCCTCAGGTCATCCTCCACTGCTTTCCCAGGCCATTAGCATGGAGCTGAATTTGGAAGTGGAGCAGCTGGAACTAGAGCTGGTGCCCATACGGTATTCATGTATGTTTTACATGAAATGTGGAGCTACAGAGAGAGAGGCAAAGACAGAGAGAGGTTTTCTGTACTCTGATTCACACTGCACATGGGCTCAATGACTGCAGGTAAGCCATGCTGAAGCCAGGAGCCATGTGAGTGCAAGGGCCCAAGCCCTTGAGCCATCTGCTGCTTTCCCAGGTGCTATAACATGGAGTTAGATTGGAAGGGGATAGCTGGTACTTGAACCATTCCCATGTGGAATACTGGCACTGTAGGAGGTACCTTAGCCTGCCATGCCACAGTGCCACCCACAAATTAGTTTATCTTCCAGTTCCTGATATGTCATATCAGTTCCTGGACCACTGGCATTGTGGATAATCTCGATTAAACAGAGAAATCCTTAGTCCTTCTTGATGCAAGCAGTAATTCTTCTCAATGCTGGAGCTCACACTGTGGTTCCTTACGTGTCTGAAATGGTTGCAGTCATTACTGAGTCAGTGGCTTGGGCTTGCAGCGTCCAAATAGTAGGTCACCTTTTTAGTAGCTTACAGGAACTAATATTGCCTTGGTTTGCTGAAACCACATGACCATGACTCTCGTTCTCACTTGGGAAGGCTTGTGGTGCACATGCTCATTTATCTTAATACTGAAAGACCATGCAAATCACATTGTTTTCCTCTGATTTCAATTCTGGTTTACTTTATAGTTTTCTATACATTGCAGTAAAAATGTTCACATGAAATTTGTATTTAGTAATAAGTACTGTTTTTTCTTGTTGCTTCACAATGTGTTAGCTTGAAAATGCCATCAAGATTAAAGAAATGTTTGGTCTTTAAAGTCTTCCTTTAAACTTTGGAAAGATCTAAAATTCAGAAATACTACATACATCTTAGCAGTGTTCATGAGCATATTTACAAGGATAACCTGTATTTATTTTTACACATTTATGGGTATGTTGAAGTAAACATCTCAGAATTCTAAATCCATCTAATACAGCAACCCTACCGTCGTATTCCTGTTGTGGTAGGCCATGCCAGAGCTGATACGGGGACTGGGTTATCGGGACAGCATGAACCCACATTCAGGAGTCTCGTGTTTAATAGGCCGGAAACTCTGAATTACTGATTGTTTATCTCTACTTTGTCAAAAATAAGATAGATTTAGGGTTCATGGAACATTTACCTAGAAGCTGTTTCTTAAAAATACTAGATTTAAAAAATGATACATAATTACAATGAGATTTTGATTTTATTTTTAATCAGCAAAAATAAGTTGTAGTTTCATAGTTAATTAATAATTTATAGGGCAAATAAATGGTCTTATCCTTCAGATAAGGATCCTAAGGCCTTGGTCTGCTTAGAGAGCCACAGAAAATACCACAACTTCATCCTCTGAAGGGACTCCATTGTTCTGCAGTTCTGGAGGCTAGCTGTTATCTGAATGCGGGAGTACCCTCGTGGCCTTTCCTCGGTGTGTGTGTGGTGGCAAGGACAACACAACCTCTCTGGTGCCACTTTTAGCAAGGGCACTGAGCCCCTTATGGAGGTATCACCCACATGATGTCCTTTAACCTCGAGTACCTCCCAAAGGCCCTAGTGCCAAGCACTACCATCTTTGAGGATCAGGACCTCAATATCTGAATTTGGAAGGGACAGAAACATCCAAACCATAAAAAGCTGAAATATTTTAGAGCATCAGAAACCTATTTGAACTGCCTAGTAATTGAACTCTTAACAGAATTAAAGCTTAGATCCGAGTTCAACAAAGTTAGAGTAAGGGGAGTTGTCTCTTGCGTTCATGCTGTAACCTGCGAAGAGTGCTGCTCTTGGATTCTGTACTTAAGGTAGAACTTAGAGTGTTTTGTGACTGAATTGTTAGGGTTGCTGATTGGTCTCAGATTATCCTCCTAACTCTTTCCTTTAATGTCTGCATTCCCTTTCTCGAAGCAGGAGCAACCTTCAGGGTAACAGGTATCTATTTCTCAATCTTACATGTGCTTTTCATGTCTTAGCACACTAGATGTATGAATCCTTAGCTTCATACATCTAAGATTTCACCCATTTTTCAAGCCATCTGTCCACCTTAATGAATTCTACTTTCATTCCATAGAACTCACCTTTTCTCAATATTTTGCATTCTTAGGAACCATTTTTAATTGTTCTCGCTTATGCTTTACCATTTTTTGCTTTACTTTTAATGAAAATTAACAAAACTAAAAAGTGTAACTTGAAGAAGATAAGGTTTAGTTATGTGAAAGACTGGCAAAACCAAATTGGTTCTTTGTTTTAACAATGACATAATTACATAAATACAGAACTCATATTTTTTAATTTCTTTTTTAAAAATATTTGTTCAGATAGTCTAGTTGGCAGCATTCTCTTTGGTCAAGAAGAATCGATGGTATAGAAAGATGAAAGAAAGTTAAGATTATTTAAAGGTATTTCCAGTATGTTTCTCCATAAAAAACACTACCAATTTTAATATTATCACCAGTTTACTTAATTATAAATTAATTTTAATGGAATGGATGGTAATGTGGCTCTCATTGATTGTAATTTCAAGTCCAATTGGAAAAATCCTATTTATTTGAAAAATCAAACAAATCAAATTATCTTTAACTTAATTAAAATGCAAGATTTTTGTGAATAAGTCTGTTTAAACATACAGCAGCTATTTTGGCAAGTGCTTAATATTCTAAACTGTGCAAAGCATTAAATTCTCCCGAACTGTTCTCGTGTGCACTGCTCTGTCTGCCATAGAGGAATTTGGTCCCAAACCCAATCAAATGTTTCTTTTTATTTTTTCTTAAAATAATTCCTCTACCAGTGTGTGACACTTCTTCTGAAGAAAGATCATCCACTCTCTCTCTCTCTTTTAAGATTTATTTTATTTCATCTGAAAAGTGGAATTACAGAGAGTGAAGGAGAAGCTCTAGAGAGGGAAAAGAAAAAAGAGATGGTGTGCAGGTTCACTCCCCAAATGACTGCAGCGGGGGGCTGGGCCGTGCCTGAGCCAGGAGCGCCTTGCGACTCCCATGTGGATGCTGAGGCCCAAGTGCTTGGTCCGTCTTCTGCTTGCCCAGGCACGTTAGTGGGGAGCTGGATCGGCAGTGGAGCAGCCGGGATTGGAATCAACACTCCGTATGGGATGGCAACATCCTAGGCAGTGGCTTAAGTCACGGTGCCATTACACCAGCCCCTCCTCCAGTTTAAATTGGTCATTTGGTTAATCAACAGAATTTCTATTTTGGAATATTTTGATAAGGAAAGGTCACACTGTTTACAGAGTTCTGCAAAGGAGAACTGTTATAAAAGGCCAAGAGCTTCCAACATTTCAAGTATGAAAGAATGTAATTTTCTAGTTGTTAATGTAAATATGCTAATAAAATTAATTCTATCCATAAATTTCAGTTTGCATTGTCTTAATTTTAAATGAAAATATTTTTAAAATAGTGAGGCCACATCATCATTATCATCATTATCATCGCAGATGGGTGTTGGAAGTTGACTATCAGATTTAGCATAAGTTTTGAATATGAGTTTCTAAACTTCATGCTATAATTTGATAGAACCAGGCAGGAACAGATTTGCTCATTCTGTATATTTCTGTTTTTACTCTTTTGAAACTTGGCCTAGATAAGATGAGCCCTGACTTATTTGGAGGAGGAGCATTAAAAATGGATTTGATAAAAAGATTTATTTAATAAGTTTTTGGAGAATACTGTTTTCATCTTATTTAAACCATCAGAGTATCAGACCACTCAGAGCTGCTTTTCAGTTTCTAAATTTGCATAGTTTTCCTAAAAGAATAATAATTTAGAAAGGGCCAGTAGGAGGTTGAGTAGATGCCAGCTCAGTATTCTCTGTCTCTTCCAGGTGAAAACGAATGGGGTCTCCGGTGTCAAGCCAGAGCCGCCGTTCAAGAGGGACCCCTTCGAAGATCTGTCGCTTAGCCTGCTTGCTGTATCAAACGCTCCGCGCTCTGTTCAAACGTCACCTGTGCTAACCACAAGCCCAAAGAGGTTGATCGAGTTGCCTTCTGCAACACAAAGTACTGTTAATACTTGGAGTTCTGTAAATTGCATGCCCACAATGCCTCCAATCCCAGCCCGGAGTAAATCCCAGGAAAACATGCGAAGTTCTCCAAACCCGTTTATGAGCAGCTTGACCAGCACAAATCCTTTCCCTGACAGAACTGCTGCCCCTGGAAACCCATTCAGAGCCCAGTCCCTCGAGTCCGAGGCAGCCTTGTGGCTCCCCGAAGCAGACCCTCTTCCTCACAACCCCTTCCCTGTCCTGATGCCTCTGGGTCACCCTACAGGCAACCCTGGCTCTTCCCTGGAAGGCATTAAGGACAGTTTTCACATGCAGGGCACATCCACAAGGAAAGCGGGCAACCCGAAAGGATGGGTCACCTTTGAGGACGATGACGACTTTGGAGTGAGGGGGAAGCCGGATGCCACTTGTTTCCCAGACCTACTGGGAAATCCACCAAGTTTGTCTTCTGGCTCCACCATGACAACTGATGGCCAAAACAAAGAGACAGATGTTTCTTTCGGTGTCTTACCATCAAGAAGACCACCTCCACCTCCTGTCCCTACACTCCTTTCCAACACTAGTGCTCCGGTGGATCCTTTCGCAACCTTGGCCACCAAGGCTCCTCCCACACTAGACTTTACAGAAAGATAATCTTAGGTGATAGAAGACAGTCGTCATTATTTAGTTTTGGCAGGCTAGCGCCAAAAGAATTGGGCATTAGCTGTTCATTACGTGCAATAAGTTATTGTGAAGCGCACTGATATCTTCATGAAATACCACTATTTCATATGTACAAAGTTGGAATATGTGTATATTGGAAATAAGGGAAAAAATCCTTCTAACTGGAGTTTTGATATAGTGTTATTCAGAAAAATAGGAGACTGGTAGCCATAAAAAGTGCTTAGAACTACTTTTGAAATTAGTCCATATTTAGAAATTCTGTCGATTTTCTCTGAAGAATCTCAACAAGGCCGCACAATTTCTAGCTGACATTACTGCCAGCCCGCTCATGCCTGTTAACAATTGGTGTTTGAGTATTTACCAAAGAGCTGCCAGAGTTAGAATGAAACCGTTCTCAAAGGCATCACTTCAAACACATGTACGTGTACACTCATACATGTACCTATTTACAGCTGTCTGGGATATAACTGAGACCAAATCACCAAAAATCCTAACCAAGGCCCTTTATCAGTGTCATCAGAAAGATGACCACAAGTGTAATTTGAATGTTCCATTAATTTCCAAAATTAGAATTCTCTCACTCTAGAGCGGGAGTTTCTGCCATTGCACACCTTCCCCTTTCACAAGCCCGGGCCTTACTCTTCCACCCTCCAGCACCTCCACACGCCTCTCCCCAGGGGGAGGTGCTTGCAGCCTGGCAGCAGTGTATTTTATGGTCAGTACCAGGTGGACAGCTGGTCCAGCTCTCAGAACAGCACTATGGCCTTAAACACAAGGAAGGCACATGTCCCCCCAGTTCCATGAGAAACTCTGGAGCTGACGGTCCTCTTTTCCCGACAGACATTAAGCTCTACGCTGCCCATTTGCCTCCCACATCTGTCTGCTGGCGGCTTTTGCTCTGATCACCGTGTTTAGCAGGGAGAGCAGCTGACCTCGGAGAGCTGTGAGTTGGGACACCCAGTGTGTGTGCCCTCCGAAGAGGCTACAGAGCACCTCTCTGTGATGCTGCTCTACCTTCTTAGAGGCTATACCTCAGACTAGCTGTGGATTTTGTCTCCTGCACTGCCAATATGCAATTGATTCTGCTTTTGTTAATTTTATGAAGACATACACAGAATTTTTACAGAATGTAGTATTTTGATATCATTAAGTAAACCACTTAGAGAACTCCTTGAGCAATAGTTTTCTTGTCATTTTAAGTTGAAGCTGCTCTTTTACTCAAGCCTGTGTTGAAGTCACTTTTTCTTTGAAGAGCTGTATCTGTCCAGTTTCTGTGGCCACATCAAACCTTAAAGAAGTGCATTGGGGGAATATTTTTTAAGAGAAGTTCATAGTTAAGAACATATACATTGGAAAGCACAGCAGCCACGTTGCACTCAGACTGAAAGGGGCTTTTCTAAATGCTCAAATGTTATCAAAATACTATATTTCTATAATTCTGTCTCTGTTAACAGCCAGGATTTGCTGTGAGAAATAACTTTTGTGAGTTATCTATTGTGCTTCTTCAGGTTCTAATCATTTCAGCAGTAGCATCTTTCAAACAGCAGTATTACCGTAAGCAGTGTGCTTCGAAATGTGAATTAACTTGTTGAAACTGTGGCTTTCACCTCTGTAGTTGGTATTTGCTCCCCATTATCGAGATAATTCAGTGCTAGGTACACTTGGCTAGTGCAGAGTGCAGTTCTGTGCGTGGTATTCCTCGAGTATCAACTACTGTCTCAAATAGACATATCAGCAGCAGCTCAGCCTTTTTCAGGAAAACTACACTTGGTAAGTTGCTGAAAATGCACAAAGTTTGAGAGTTAAAGGTATGCTGCAGACAACTTGTCCTTACTCTGTGTGTTAGTAAATATTCACCGGTTCTGTTAAAAGCAGAACAGAGATTAGACACTAAGGAACTCTTTGTGACTCCTTTGTTCTCTGTAGTAGATTGCTGTTTATATGTATGTAAGAATTTTACTGCTTATGTGGCACACACTATTTATAACTATATACTTTATAGAAATGCAGTATTAAAGTCAGTGGGGATACAGACATTCTGTACATATCCTGTGAACTGTGCTGTCCTATGAAATAAATATACCTATCTTTACCATGCTGTTTTGTCAAGAGACAAAAGAGTCTTCCTCAGACATGTTGCCTGTACTTACACACATTTAATGGCATTTGGGGGAAATAGGTCAGTTCTTACTGGCAAAACAAGTAGTTTATTAAAAAAAAATGTCGTGACTTGAAACACAGAGTTATAGAGAAGGAATGGGTTGAAAAAGCGAGAAAGGGTGGGGGAGATACCTTCCAAACCAGCTATTTTTAATTCAGGATCTTAATTTTCCTTGATTTCGTCTCCCCCAAATCCGCTTCCTCTAGGGTTCCTGCCATTACTCATTAGGGAGCCCATGCACTCACTCCCTGAGGCCCGTCCTCATTCAGAAGCTTGTTGGCTTGAAAATAACACAGGAAGAAGCAGGAATGCTGAAGTTCTGAGCCGCAGAAGAGACAGTGAGGGGTGGGGGAGGTGGGGTGCAGGGCAGAGGGGAAGGTGGAGCAACAGACTAAGGAGAAGCATGGGGAGAGCCCAGCTCCACGAGTGTTTCCTTTCGTCAGTTTGGTCCTCTATGACTGATAATCAGAACCGTGACCTTCACTCCTAAGAGCTGCTTGCATAGGTTCATGAACTTCTTAAGTTACAGAGACAGATGAGCTTTTTAAAAATGTTTTACAATAACTGTAGCAGCACATGTAACTGTAAGAATCATACAAGTCCCAGGTACCCCATTTCTTCCAGTGGGGACGTCTTGCACAGCCAGGGGACAGAAGCACCACAAGAGTACTCGCACGGATCTCGGACCTTCGCTTCACTGCAGGACCCCGTGAGGAGTTGCCCCTCTCCTTCCCCTCCCACCCAGGCCTCCATCTCTGCCTTTTACCTGTGCCAACTGCAGTCTGCTCGCCAGGGATGTGTGTAAGCAGAATTACACACTCTGACTTGTGGAACTGGCTTTTCTCAGCACGCCCCTCTGAGATTCAGCTGCATTGTTCCTTGTTGCAGCTGAGTGTCTCCCATGGCGTGGCTGCATCACAGTGTAGTTAACCGTTCACCTGCAGGGAAACCACCGGGGTTGTTGGTGGTTCCTGGCTCTCCCAAATACAGCTGCAGTGGACAGTGGTTCTTTTTCTTGGATAAATGCCAAGGGGTTTTAGATTATTTGGTCATAAATATGATGGTATATATATATATCTATATGGTGGTAACATGTTTCAGTTTATAAGAGAGTGCCAGACTTTTCTAGAATATCTTCCACTTCACATTCCCTTCAGCCAGGCAGAGTGACCCAGTTTCAAGATTCATAATTTTTATTTTTATTGGAAAGTTAGATGGACAGAGAGGAAGATCCTCCGTCCTCTGATTCACTCCCCAAGTGGCCACAAAAGCTGGAGCTGAGCTGATCTAAAGCCAGGAGCTTCTTCACATCTCCCATGCAAGTGCAGGGTCCCAAGGCTTTGAACCATCCTCGACTGCTTGCCCAGGCCACAAGTAGGGAGCTGGATGGGAAGCAAGACTGCTGGGACAAATCCAGTGCCCATATGGGATCCTGGCAAAAGTGAGGACTTTAGCCTCTAGGCTACCATGCTGGGCCCACTAATTTTTTTTTTTTTTAATTATAGCTGCTCTGGGAAATCAGGATGGCCGAGGGGTCTAACCATAGCTGTTGTAGCATTTCATTGTGTTTTAATTTGCATTGCCCTGAGCTTTTTCTTCAAGGGCTTCTTCCGTGAACTGTTCATATTCCTTTGCCTGTTTTCTAAATTGTTCATGCTGGGTGCTGGGTTCCAAGTGTTCTTTACAAATTTTACGTATTCCCCATCCTTTGCTGGAAGTGTGGTTTGCAGACATTTCTCTGTAGTGTACTTTTCATCCGTTCATGTGATCCATGAGCAGATCCTGGATTCTGAATGCAGTGAGGGTGATTGATACAATGAAACCTGTGAGAAACTGTGGCCGAAATCAAAACACTATTTAAAAGACTGGCTTATTTGAAAGGCAGTGTCAGGGAGATGGAGATGGGGAGAGGCATGAGGGAGAGATGCCTTCCATGTGCGGGTTCTTTGCCTAAAGGACTGCGACAGCCAGGACTGGGAGCCAGGGACTCCATCCTGGTCTTCTGTGTGGGTGGCAGGGGCCCAAGCACTTGGGTCGTCTTCTGCTGTCTTCCCAGGCGCACTGGCCAGAGCTGGATCAGCAGAGCAGCCAGAATGTGAACCAGCACAGTATGGGATGCCAGTGTGCCACAACCTATAGTGCTCCACAACACTGACCCCAAAACACCAATTTACTGTTAGAGAATGAGTCTGACTATGTCAAGGTTTAGCAAACCCAGAGAAATGGGAAGTCATGTGCTGTGGGGAGGAGGTTAAGTTGGCACATGAACGCTCGAGAGCAGTTTAATAAGTGTTAGGTGAAGTTCATATGCCCCATCAGCAACCCCAAGTCGAGACAATTGTCTTCTGAAGAAACTAGTGTGTGTGGAAGCATATTTGGCATACACACACTGTGACGGTGCAGACATGAAATAAACTCAGCATCCACAGGAACGAAATGGCAGTCACACCATAGTGCGAAGGGAACCAGAGGGTGGAAGAGCCTTCTCTCCATAAATCTGATCTGCCTATCCAATAAAAGTTAATAAATATAAAAAGTAATAAAAACACTGGAAAGAATGTGTAACAAAGTTCCAAAAACTAAGGTATCAGTGCTTACAAAGATTAAAGATACTGTGGCCATTTTCTATTTAATGATTACTTATTTAAATGAAATTGAATAGCAGGGATACACGGCAGCTTATTTGACATGGCTCCACACTTTTCTATGGCTCTAAGTTTCTCCCAGGGTTTCCGTAACCCCTGAGCTTCTGGGAATGTGGCTCTGTGTACCAAGAAGGCCACACAGTGAGCCAGATTGCCAGCAGAAGCTAACTTGGATTCAGCAGAAAAGGATCAGAACACAGAGCTCAGACACCACCAGTGGCCCTTGTCCAGCTGGGGAGCCCATCGGACCATCCCTCCTCTCTCCAGTGCAGACAGTCCATCTGTCCCCACGGGAGACCCGGCACTGGCTGTGGGCAGTATCCGGTTACAGCACCCGTGCACTCCACGGTACGCGGCTACTGCGGAGAGACCCACGGCTCCCAGAATGCTTGCAGTACTCAGCACCATCACTCTCCTCCAGAACCACAGCTGGAGGCTTCCCGCAACCTCACCAGGCTAGCTCAGGGCACCCGTGACCCCGGCTAAGGGCCTGCTTTGGCCATCATCGGACCCCAAAGACAATGCCCCTGTGTGGTTTTGCCTGATGCCTCGGCTTGAATTCCAGGAATCACCCACTAAGAAGACACGCGGGCCCCTGCCTGGACACTCAGCCCTGGCCCGGACCCTCCTGCATCCTCCCAGCTGCCCTGCCCCTCTGCCTGGGTGACTTCGCGGGGCGGTAGGCTGAGTCCCTGCCCGCCGTGCGTCTGTTTGCGTTGCCCTGACAACCGCCACTTCCGGGCGCGGCCCTCGTAGACCGCGCTGGTGGCGGTCCTGGCAGCAGCTTCCTGCGGGACAGGTTCGCCAAGGACTAGCCGCACCGACCTTGCCCTCCCTCCGCTTCTCAGCCGCGGCCCCTCGCCCTCTGTGTTTACTTGCTGCTCCTAGCAACAGCTACTTCCGGTGCGGTGCCATTTCTTCCCCTTCCGCGCTGAGAGCACAGTCCTCCGGGTTCCGGCCTCGGAACAGCCGTTAGTGCCGCTCTGCTGTCGGCACCCCCCGGCACCCCGACCCCTCGGGCGGGCCTCCGGCACCGCCATGGTCCTACTCCACGTGAAGCGGGGCGACGAGAGCCAGTTTCTGTTGCAGACGCCCGGGAGCGCCGAGCTGGAGGAGCTCACGGTGCGGGTGACCCGGCTCTACAACGGGCGGCTGAAGGTGCAGCGCCTCTGCTCAGGTGCGCGGTCCACGGGTGACTCGGGCTGGAGCACGTCAGGCCGGAGGTGCTTGCTGGCTTGGAGGGGTGGGAGTGGGGGTCGGAGGACCAAGTATTGTAAAGTTTGGGGAAGGTTTGGCCCGACCGAGGTGAGTAATAGCGGACCCCGGGGGTGGCCAGAGGGGAATCCAGAGATGGAGTCGGTATTTGGGGGTGTCAAGCTATTGGGGAAGGACCTGTTAGGAGCAAAGAGACACCTGGAGGGGAGCCGAGAAACCCCGGTAAGTCGCAGGGCGGGTCCCGGGGCTGAACCGTCTGGCCAGCCACCGACCCCTTGAAATGTGGCTGGTGCAACCCAGGAGTTTTAGATGGAAACTATCCCGTGTAGATAGCAGGCACCCCGTTAGCTCACTCTAGAATATGGATGAGGAGGCGAGTGAGAGGAGGTGGGAGAAGGTCAGCTTTGCACCCCGTCACCCCCACACCTCCCTCCAGACCACCCCCAGTGGCTCAGAATCTGGTAGACAAGTGTCCATTCAGTTGCACCAACACCCCACGGCTGTGCCATGGCACAGCGAGCATGGGGGGGGTGGGAAGAGCGGGGTCTGTTCCGCCTCCCTCAGCCTTCCTGGCCTGTGCATGGCCTTGGTTTGTACCAGCCACTTGAGGTTTTATTCATCAAGTATGAGTCGTCCAGTAAGGTGGGGGGGTGGGGGCGCTGGCAGCTCCTTTGTGCATCCCTCACAGGATTCAGTTAGATGAGATCACCCATGTGTGCATGTTTGGGAAACTTCTAGGGGAAGTCACCAGGTGCTGTTGTTTTTTTAAAGATTTATTTACATTTATCGAAAAGTCAGATTTACAGTATGATCTTCCTTCTGCTGGTTCACTCCCCAAGTGGCTACAATGGCCAGAGCTAAGCTGATCAGAAGCCAGGAGATTCTTCCAGGTCTCCCAAGTGGGTGCTGGTTTGCAAGGTTTTGGGCCGTCCTCTACTGCTCTCCCGGGCCACAGCAAGGAGCTGGATGGAAAGTGGAGCAGCTGGGATATGAACCAGTGCCCATATGGGATCTGGTGCATGCAAGGCAAGGACTTCAGCCACTAGGCTACTGCACCTGGCGTATATGTCAGGTTTTTAGCAAGAATTTATTTTCCGTCTCAGCGGAGTTGGAAACCAAAGTGCCGGGGCCCCAGGCCAGTGACCAAGCTCCCTGAATGTGTGGGCAGGGGCTGCCTGGCACAGGCGGGGCTTGGCACACAGCGAGGTGTAGCCGGATGCCCCAAACCCTCACTTTTTAGGGGTTTGCCTTCGCAGGGGGAGATAAGGTGGGAGGAAGAAGAGGGGGAGAATGGTGATATATATTGTCTGGCCTCCCCTTTGCTTTTTCTTTAAGAAATGGAAGAATTAGCAGAACACGGCGTGTTTCTCCCCCCTAATATGCAAGGACTGACTGATGAGCAGATTGAAGAATTGAAATTAAAGGACGAATGGGGCGAAAAGTGCATCCCCAGCGGTGGGTCCGTGTTTACCAAGGACGACATCGGGCGAAGGAACGGGCAAGGTAACCCAACATCCATGGCCCCTCTGTGCCCCCAGGCAGGCACACGGGGGCATGCTGCCCTGGGCACTTAATTGTGGTTAGATGCCAACCTGTGAATGAGGTCAGTCTTCTGTCTTATAAGACCCAGCTAGTTGAACCATGTAACATGTTATAATTTGGGTCAAAAATGACTAAATACCAAAAAAAGAAAGGGCTAAAATTACGAGGAATCTCTGATGGAGCCTGGTGAAATGTTAGCAGCCACCAGCTAAAAATAGATCAGGGTGAAGATTTTTATTAAAAAAAAAAGTTTGTCCTAAATAACTTTTCCATAAACCGTCTTTCTCCTCTCTCCCCTGCCCACCCCCCCCCCCACACACTGCTATGGGGCAGGAGGGTGGATATGAGACAGTCTGAGGATCAGGGTGGAGCACGCCCTGCCCCCCACCTGCCCCCAACACGTGCAGGCAGCGGGTGGCCAGGAAACATCTGTGAAGAATATCTTGGCGATGCCAGGAATCCCCAGTGTTGATTCTTTGGACTTGGCGGTGAATGGTCGTCCCCATCTCTTCATACCTTGAGCTTGTGCTCTGTCCGGACAGACTGTTGGCTTTTCAGAAGTGATTTCATCGGTGAAACACGCTCACTCCTAAGGACCAGTACACACTTCATCCTTCATCTGTAAGCCAGCGTGGGCCTTTCATTCACTGCGTCCGCTCTGTGGTAGTTTGGCGTTGCCGCAGTTCCCAACATCTGGCTAACACTGTAATTACGGCGCAGTTTCAGCTTGTCCCAGCTTCCCTGGATTTGAACATCGCATCCGTTGTTTTTGCTCCTCAACCAGCAAGTTGTCTGTTCCTCTCTTGTCAAGTTGGTCACTGGACAACAGCCACATGTCAAATCTAGTCAGTTGCCTGTTTGTGACATACATTTTTTTTTATTGGGATACAGCTACCCCACTCACTGAAGAGTGAGGATGCTTTAGAGAACGTTCATGGGAAATGAATGAATGAAAAGTTACATTGGTTTTTGGTGCAAAAAAAAAAAAAAATTGAATTGCACGTCTAGTTGTTTCACGATCCATATCTTTCCATGAACTTGAAGAGCCCACCTGTTTGGCCACTAGAGGCATGCTCCCGCCTGAGCGAAGCGTGTGCCCGCCGACCCGGCCCGAGGAGCTAACACAGCATCTTCACTGAACCTCCCCATGCAAGAGCAGGTGGCTCATGCGCGTCTCCTACTCACACATCCTTCTTTACTTGGCTTGTTCCCGAATCACACAGAAGGGGGTGAGGGAAGCAAGAGGACGTTTAAGGAGACTGTGCATTTGATGTTTTCTCTCTCCTTTGTTCTGGTAGCCCCAAATGAAAAAATGAAGCAAGTTTTAAAGAAGACTATAGAAGAAGCCAAAGCAATAGTATCTAAGGTTAGCGCTTTTTCTTTCCTCCCCTCCCTTTCTTCTTAGGTTTTTAAATATTTTCCATTGTTACTTGAGTGCTAGAGTGACGAATGGAGAGCCCCCATATTCTGAGTCACAACCCAAGTGCCTGCCGTGGCAGGAGTTTTTCTATGCTGAAGCCAGGAGCCAGAAGCTCCCTCTAAGCCTCCCGCATGGCCGCCGGGAATCTGGTGACTTGAGCCACCACCATTGCCTCCCACCCACCGGCAGGATCGGGAGGCTGGCGTGGAATGCAGGCATCCCGCTGTGGGAAGCAGGCGTTAGAACAGGTGTCTCACCTGCTTGGCCCAACAGGTTTGCTCCGTTTCAAAAATGAAGCTCTAACTAGTTTGTTCTTTAGGATACATACACTTATACGGTATCCAGAATTACCTTTTGACCAGTTTTTTGCTGTTGTTGTTAAATACCTTCCAGAAGTGAAAGAAGTAAGGAGGGCTGAGGTGGACCCTAGCTTTTCCTTGTCGTAATTAATGTCAAGTGTCCAGAGTCTTCCTGGGGCAGGTGTTTGCTGGCCATGTCAGTGGGGATGGATCCTAACGTGAATATGGGGTGATCTGAATGTGTGGCCTAGAGTAGCTCTCAAGAGGACCCACATAGTACATATTTAATATAAACCAGTCCTTTAACATTTATTTATTTATGTAAAAACCGTGTCATAAAAGGACACACAGGTAATGGATATTTAAAGACTTGGGATGGGCCCAGCGTTGCAGCGCCACAGGTAAAACCACTGCTTGCAACGTCCCCGTATTGGAGTATCAGTTCCAGGCCTAGCTGCTCCGCTTCTGATTAAGCTCCCGGCTAATGTGCCTGGGAGAACAGCGTAGGACAGCCCAACGCCTGGGACCCTGCACCCACGTGGAGACCCAGAAGAAGCTCCAGGCTCCTGGCTTCAGTTATACTCAAGATCTTTCTCTATCTCTTCTCTCTGTAAATCTGACTTTCCAATAGAAATAAATTTAAAAATGAAAGAAAGAAAAAGCAGGCCTTTCAGGATTGGCCACAAGGAGGAGCTGGCACCATGTGGAAGTGGGAGGGAGCACACAGCTCGGTGGCCTTGGACAGGCCGCACATTCACCCTCCGCACCGCCCTGCCTGCCAGGATAGGGACTGTCTCTTTGGTGGGTAGCTGTGAATGGGGCATTGGCCGCGGGATCGCATGGGTCCCTGAGCCCTCCCTCCGTGTGCAGGTAGGGGTGGCGAGGGGCTGAAGGCCTGGATACTCCTTTGTGTGCCTCTGGCCGGCCTGCCAACTGGTCTCCTTCTAGCTGGGTCCAATTCTGTAGGATCTCCTGGCTGCCTTGTTCCTTCCCAGAAAAGCCGACCCTTGCCCACTGTCAGGGTAACTGCGGACTTGGAGCCTGCCCAGCTGCCCCAGGAGCCCTGTCCACCCCCTCCTGCCCACGGCTCCACCTTTTCCACACACCTGTATTTCGGGGTATGCGTGATCAGGCCTCTGTCCCACTCTGTGTCTCCTGACCCTTTGCCACCACGGCTTGGCTGTGGGGCATTCCTTCTTCAGCCTATTATGCACTTGGCCTTGGAGCCTGCTCTGCACCCCAGGCCATGGCGTGCCGGGCTCCACCCCTGAAGCAGACAGCAGTCACCAGGGAGTTCCTCGTTACCGTGCAGGCAGCCTCTGGCATCTCTGCTGCAGGACCCTGTTTATAGAATCCATGAGGCACTAACACCTGTCCACCTCCAGAAACAGGTGGAAGCCGGTGTGTGTGTTACCATGGAGATGGTGCAGGATGCCCTGGACCAGCTCCGAGGTGCAGTGATGATTGTGTATCCCATGGGGCTGCCGCCCTACGACCCCATCAGGATGGAGTTTGAAAACAAAGAAGACCTGGCGGGGACTCAGGTAGGGCGTGGGTTCCCGTCTTCCTCTCCTCTCCCCTCCCTGCAGCCCTGCAGGTTTGACCACCTGCTTCCCATGCAACAGAGTTTGGGGTGCAGAGGAGGAGCTGCCCTGGCCTTGCCAGGCAGGCAGTGACCTGAGTCATGGCAGAAGTGGGATGACACTGAAAGCTGGGGAGCTTGGAGAGCAGGTAGGGGGCGGGGTCGCACCCAGGGCAGTCCCTGACGCTCCTCAAGTGGCTGCTGCACCCCGGCTGCAGGCAGGCCTCCAGGTCATCGCCGAGTCGGAGGCGCAGCTGTGGTGGGCCGCCAAGGAGCTGCGGAGGCAGAAGAAGCTGGCCGACTACGTGGGGAGGAACGAAAAGACCAAGATCATCGTCAAGCTTCAGCAGGTGCGGGCCTCAGCTCGGGACAGCATGTGTGTGTTCATCAAGGGTTCATGTACCGTAATGCTAGAAGACCGCAGCCGTGTGCAAAGCTTTTGTCTTGAAGGTTGATGTGAAAGGCTAAGTGTTAGATTTGGTTCACTCCCCCAAATGGCCACAACAGCTGGGCTGGGCCAGGTCAAAGCCAGGAGCCTGGAACTTCATCCGAGGTGCCCGTGTGGGTGGCAGGGCCCCCGGCGACAGTTAGGAGAAAAAATGAACTGACCAGCCGTAGGTGAGGTCTGCTGTCGCTTGGGGGCAAGAAGGGATGCACGGCCGAAAGCAGCGCTGCACGTGGCTCACACGTCGGAGGGCAGGACCCACTGTGCGTGCTCCGTGTATGGGCGGAGGTCTGGAAGAGCCTCACCTATAGAGTGGCCTTGGCTCCCCGCCTGCTGTGAAATCGTCTCTCACTGCTTCCCTGACCCTTCACTGGTCACCTTGGGCACACCCAGGATAGACATGTGTCACGGCCTCAGGCCTCCCCTCCGGCCCCTGCCCATCCCCCCTCCACGCCCAGGGCGCAGGCACCACCAGGAGCAGGGCTGGCCTGAATGCCCACTCTCTGATCAGACCTAGGTGACCTGCCCAGCAAAGGCCATGGTAAAATGGGGGGTGGGGGGAAGCTGTGACTTCCTGGATTGCCGCCTCTCCCCTTGCCAGGAGTAGGCCTTGACCCACCCTCTCTCCTGCCCTGGGCTTTGCAGAGGGGACAGGGGGCCCCTGCCCGGGAGCCCATCATCAGCAGTGAGGAGCAGAAGCAGCTCATGCTGTACTACCACCGGAGGCAGGAAGAACTCAAGGTACCCGCCCTAGGGATGGGAAGGGGTGAGACTGGGTCAGCTGGGAGGCAGGGGTGCAGGGTGGAGGTGTGGCCCCAGGGAGTGGCCTCTGTCCTGCTGGGAGGTAGGGTAGGGGCGGGACCCCAGGGAGTGGCCTCTGTCCTGCTGGCAGTGGGAGGTGGGCTGTGCCAGGGTGTTGGGGCGTGGTCTGGGGGCATCCCTTCCTGCTCTTTGCATAGTTGTCTTTCTTGCTGAGACCTGTTTTTTTTTTTTTGCAGAAATTGGAAGAAAATGACGACGACTCGTGTTTAAATTCTCCGTGGGCTGATAATACTGCTTTGAAAAGACATTTCCACGGCGTGAAAGACATCAAGTGGAGACCAAGATGAGGTGCACCTGTTGATCAAGCTGTGGGAATCAGCCGCTTCCTGGCAGGATAACTGACAGGGAAGAAGTGGCCACGCCCTGTGGCAGATGGGGAACTTCTGCTTTTCCTATGGTCTGGATCTTTAAAATAACAAGTATTCAATCAATTAGACTCAAGGAAATACATCCTCATACGAAGGTGTGTAAATTACTTTGGTTTCAGAGCAACCATTTAGTTTCTTGGATTGTTCTTTAATAAAATACTGAAGATTCAATTATGGACAGTTTCAGCTTTCTGAGCTATTGGGTTGTTCATCTTACGAGACAAAAAAGACCAACTGCACCCCCATGTGTTCACTCATATTCCTGTAGAAGCTGAAACTTGGGCCAGGCCTGAGCCAGGAGCCAGGAGCTCATTCTGGGTCTTCCACACAGGCGATGGGCCCCAGCCCTTGAGCCACAAGCTGCCTCCCAGGATGTGTTGGCAGGAAGCTGGAGTGGAAGCAGTGCACCAGGGACTAAAACCAGACATTCTGAAATGGGATGCAGCTGTCCCAGGCTGAAGCTTTTTTGCTGTACCACAAGGCCAGCTGTCATTTCTTTCTTTTTTTAAACGGTCAGGACTAGGCCAGGTTGAAGCCAAGAGCCAGTCTCCCCTGTGGGCGCAAGGGCCCGGGAATTTGGGCCATCCTCTGCTGCTCTCCCAGGTGCATTAGCTGGGAGCTAGATCAGAAGTGGAGCAGTTGGAACACGAACTGGCACCCACATGAGAAGCCAGCACGACAGGCAGTGGTTTCACCTGCTTCACCAACCCCACCACAAGCTTTCTGAAGCACTCTGATCAGAGGCTGAATTCTCAGTCTTGTTTGAGAAAGGCAGCCATGCCAGCCTTCCCTCGACATTCAAACTGCCCTGTGGTTCTCAGCTTTCCAGGCCTCCTTCCCTGGGACAGATCCTGGGAATAAGCTTCCATGTGGGCCGCGGGCAGCCATCCCTGCAGTCGGCAGGGTCTGACTGCAGGACCGGCTCCTGCTTCCATCTGCCTAGTACCTTGCTGTGCTCCCCAGGGACCTTTTGATTATAGATGCCGTTTCTCATCATCCACAGTAATCCTGCGCCACAGTGTCCAAAGTGCAACCGCCAGGCTGGCTGTGGCAGCCGAAGATTCTGGAAGTTCTAGAAATTTCTAGAAGGTTCTCTCAAGCTTGATTTTGGTCTCTAAGATGGGCTCTCCTTAAGGGAGTCACAGGGCTGTCCCTGAGGGAAAGTGACCACGGCAGCTGGTGTGTCCTGCCTCTGGGCTGCTGACACTTGCTGCCCATTCCTCCTGCCTCGGGCCTGAGCCCCATCATGGCCATGATAAGGAACTGTGCGAACCAGTACAAGGGAGATGCTCTGGGGACTGTGCACCTGTTGGGGTCAGAGGTAGCATGGGGACGCAGCTGTAAGATGCTGAGAGCTGTTGCCACCAGCAGAGGGTGACTCGGCTCCTGCAGGAGTGATAACGTGCAGCTGCTGACCCGACCATCGGGGCTGCCCTGAGCTGGCTGGTAGGAATCAATGCTGTGAGCAAACCTTGTCTTCTCCGGCAGGGTGTAGATGGCTCTGTGTATCAGCTGTGCCTTCGCAAATAAAATTGGGCTGCTCATCAAATTTTGTAGGGCTGGATTTGCATTTATTTCCTTTATTAAAGAAATAACTTTACATTGGCAAATGTCTGTGAAGTGTCTTGCCTTGGCTGTCATGTTTGTGCTCTGTGCAGATCAGGATCAGGGGGTTGAACTCATGCTCAGATTTGCCAGGAATGTTTTGTCCACCCAGGCAATGTGGGTTCAAGAGCCATCACTTGGAATCAGGAATTCCAACGCAGTGGGTTGGAAGAGCTCCAGGCCATGTTGTTCCTTCTATTGCTTCCTGTAGTTGCAGGACTTAGCAGCTCATGTACTTGGAGACTTGAACCAGCATATGATACTGTGGATCAGTTTAAGTGTGGTATTGGGGTTACTATTTTTTTTTAAACTAAGTTCATCCCTGGATCAATGTCAGAAGGAAAGGCAAGGGTCTGGTGGGATGGCTTAATTGACTGATCCTCCCTTTGCAAGCACTGGGATCCCACATGAGCACTGTTCATGTCCCAGCTGCTCCACTTCCCATCCAGTTCCCTGATTGTGACATGGGAAAGCAGTGATGGGCAGCCCAGTGATGAGGCCCCTGTACCCATGTGGGAGACCTGGAAGAGGCTCCTGATTCCTTGCTTCAGGTCAGGTCAGCTCTAGCCGTTGTATCCATTTGGGGAATAAACCAGCAGATGGAAGATCCTTTTCTCTATAAATCTGCCTTTCCAATAAAAATGAAAATAAATCATTTTCAAATAATAATAAAAGAACAGAGCCTGCTGGGTGTCCAGTCAGTGCCCTGTGGCTCTCCAGTTGTGCTTCAGTCCAGGAAGGCCAGTACCAAACCTAAAGCCGAAAAGCCCATTCTGCCAGCCAGTCAGCCAGCTGGCAGCACCAAGGCAGTATTATCACATGATTCCCCCATCCTTGGACAACTGCTCCGTGAAGAGTGTGCTATTCAGCTTGAACTTCACCACCCGGAACACCATGTGCTTTGGCCAGGAATGAGGGTGAGTGGTCTCAGCTCTACTGAATTCCCCAAAACCTCAGCCCTCCACAGCCCTCCAGCTGTGGGCGACAGCTGGGGTGCCATGTGTACCAACACACTCTGACCATCACCAGATCCCAGGAGCCACCATGGCCCGCAGCTGAGAATTCCAAGAGGTGCGGCTGACCCCAGGGTGAGTCCAAGTCCCGTGTAACAATGACAGCTGGTGTCTGCCGCAGCTTCATGACTCCCCACCATCTATGGCACTTGGGGCTTCTGCGGTCTCTCATGGTCAGCTCCCAGCAGCCCAGCTGGAAAGCAGCTGTTGTCATCATCATCAGAGATGACACCCAAGTGCAGAGAGGCTCACAGCCCCACGTGGGGCTTGAGCAGATGCACCTGCTTGTCCCAAAGTGTGTCCTGCCCCTCCCTGCCCTTGGCTTCTCCCACGGACTAGCAAGCAGTGAGGGGGACAGCAATGTGATGCTCTTGACCCCCGAGTGACTGCTTCCAGGATGGCTCAGTGCTCATGAACCTGTGCTTTCTGTGCCTCCGCTGCAGCACCTGTCCTCCTCTGCTTAGGCTGCTGGAACAGCAGACCACAAGCTGGGTGGATGGCTCCTAAGAGAGCCAAAACAGTGTTTCTCCAGCTTTCAATCAGTGGGATGTTGGTGCCGAGCCACAACCAGCATCTCCCAGGGCTTGGTGTCCCATGAGAGCCTGTTTCTGGATGCCAGCTAACCCTTTGTGGAGTCAAGGGCGGGGGGCGGAGAGAAAGGGCACAGAAATGTTCTGGAAGCTCCTTTATGATGGCACATGAATTCCACCCAAATTTCTGGGATTCTGTCCTGTGACTTGACCACCTGCCAACACCCCACACCTAAGGAGGCCACCTTGAGGCTTAGGGGTCAACACAGGCACCCAGGGGCCACAGCATGCAGCCCTGTGGCAGACTGTCAGCTACCACGAGGGTAGGAGGTCAAGTGCCTTGACCCATGGTGGAGAGAGCTGGCTCAACCTGAACGCCGTGTGTGTGTGTGTGTGTGTGTGTGTGTGTGACTTCTGATTTTATTGGCAAGCCAGAGATTGAGAAAGAGAACATCTCCAACCCAGCAGTTCAGCCCCCGAGTGCCCCCAGCTGCCAGGGCTGAGCCAAGCTGGAGCCCAAAGTCAATGTGGAATTTCCATGTCAAGAGACAGGAACCCCACTACTGAAGCCATTACCGCAGGCCCCCGGGGCGTGTGTGGGCAGGAAGCTGGACCTGATAGTGGAAGCCAGCATTCTCTCCAGGCACTCAGGATTCTGGGATGCCCGCATCCCATATAGGGTGCTACCAGCTGCTGGGTCAAATGCCCACCAGCTTTCTGGACACTCCTAGTTGGTTAACTTTCCAGAGCGTGACTGCTGGAACCACTTACCCCAAGTCTGGAAGCTTATAACAGCAGAAATGCCTCCTTGTCATATTGAACCCAAGGTCTCAGTAGGGCCATGCCCCTCTGTAGGTTGGGGGTGAGGGTGGGGTTGGGGTGGGGGGAGAATCTGTTCTTGTCTTGCAGTCTTGGGGGGCTGCCATTGCTCCGGTCTCTGCCTCCATCTCCACATGACCTTCTTTCTCTGTGTGTGTGTTCTTCTGAGTCTGTATCAGTCCACCTCTGTCCTCAGCCCATCTTTAATAGGGACATTTGTGATTGCATTTAGGGCCCTCTCAGGTAACCCAAGATCTCCTTGTTTTAAGACTTTGTTGTTGTCGTTTAATTTGAAAAGATTAAAAATTCCTTCATTTAAGAAGGAAGGAGTGAGATTCTTCCATCTTCTGGTTCACTCCCCAAATGGGCACAACATGGGCTGCCGGCACTGCAAATGGAGGATTAGCCACAGTGCCAGCTGTGTGAGCTCTGAGCAGTCTGCACAGGCTCACCTGGGCACTCCCTGACCTGTGACCAGCTGCAGTCTGGAGACTTGGTGGTGACGTCAGCCCCTTGCTTTCAGAAACCCCACTAGGCCCTTCTCTGCCAACTCTGGCCTCACTGACCTCAAGTTTTGACAAACCTAAGCTCTTTACATCACTCTAAGCCACAAAACAACCACCGTCTCGTGAAGCCTGGGACATACTTCCAAGGATGTGAGAAGGTTGTTTTCCTGAAGCCCCCATATAAGCATAATTCTTCCTGGTTCTCGACTAGATGGACAGAACCCAAGAGGCTGATGTTGTGGCACAGTGGATTAAGCCACCTTTTGTGATGCCAGCATCCCAGGCTTGTACTTGTTCAAGTCCTAGCTGCCCCATTTCCCATCCTGCTCCCTGCCTGTGGCCTGGAAACCAGCAGAGGAGGCCTGGCCCAGGTGTTATGTCTCTCCACGACAGAACCCTGACCCTCTGTCAGCCCAGATGCTAGGGGCACAGGGGGCTGGATTTGCAGGTACTGACTACAGGTGAATCATGCATGGTACCCAAGGAGAGCTGTGCTTTCTCCATGGAGATGTGCAAGCGGCTAAGAGGCTCCTGAGCTCAGAGCCTGGCCAGGTGTGCTCCCAGCTGGAACTGCCCCTTCACTCCCTCCCATCTTCCACCTGCTTTCTGGCTTCCTTATTACAGCTGGGTGAATTGCCTGTGGAGTCTGTGTCAGCGCACTGCCGATTGGTGGCCAGGCCACTCCACCAACCAA